TTCTTGTGTGGGACACATTTTTATAGTCGCAGCGGGGATCTCTGAAGCCGCGATGCCACCAGCTTTTGTCTCAGACTGCTATTATGAACCTGTAAGACAAACCTTGAGGTGACACCAAATTTCACGTGGCTTTAGGGGTTTATGACTCGACCACACTTTAGGCGCTTTATAAGACGTCTGGAGCTGATGTAAGCTACAGTGAAATTCCAAGTAAAATTTGAGAGTGACTGGGTGTCTCGGAAGCATAGCGGACACATGCGATGTCAGAAAAGAGTGCGCCATTTCCAATTACTGAGACGAAGGATTTTTACATACTCTAGCACTTGTACTGCTGCTCGAAACAGCCTTTCAATAGTTCTTTGCAGCAGCGCCGTCCAGGGCATGCTTCAGAACAATTCCAGGTTGCCATCGATGGCATAGGGGCGGACGTGGTGTAGTTTCAAGAAGCCCACTATTATACACATAAGCACGAGTTCGAACCCCGGATCAATATCCGCCTGAGCCAACCGAACCATCCATCCATCCTTCTCGGGTCGGTTAGATGCTAGCAGACTCGACTGGGTTGACAAAAGCACTGACTTGTACAGTAGCGCTCAAAAGTATTCGGCGAAATGCTTCTTCGATTGCACTTTTCAGTCGTAACTTCTTTCCTACTGGATCTAATCATGCGAAATTTCAATATGTATAGCATGAGTGTATTGTGAATATTTACCACTACTAGCCTGGAAACCGATCATGTTCCAGATATCGCAAAGAACTTGAACTTAAAATCAACTGGAAATGCGGATGATGGTCTTTCTTGAAATTCTCTTCTTTTTGCCATAACTGAAGTGTAGAGCGCTAATACCGAACACAGTAGAGAAGAAAAACGCATATAAAGTGCGAATAAATGCAGAAGTCAACAACTTTGCTTCTAGGGAAATCTGCTACCGCGCTCTCAGTTATAAGGATATGGCTGCCTTGCAGTCAAACAGTGTTAAATAGTGTGAAATATGCTTTAGTTAAACATATCAAAATTTTGCATGATTTGCGACGGGATTGATTAACGCCCGAAGACTTTATCCTTTATCCTTTTTATCGATGACATCAAATCAGACATGCCTGTTACGCCATTGTACTGACTATTGATTAGTTTTGACGGCCCTTATGACTGTTAAGGTAAATACACATCGAAATGCATTTAAGGTACTGAGCCAAGTGCAGGGCGCACTCGAGAAAAAAANAAAAAAATTAGTCAACCTATTGATGTGACGTAAATGACGTAAAGGGCATAGCAGAACAGCAGCCAGAGAAACTTGAATTGATGCAATGTTCAAATATTAACATTTTTTACACTTCAAGGTACTTGAATACCTATTGAATTGAATCGTTCAAGTAAAGCCTAACTGCCGAATCGACTTTTATGAAAAAAACATTTTTGCCATTTAAATAATAATAAATCTTCCGGGTTTACAATCCTGGAAAACTCACATTAATGTCGATGGACATGTTGTTGTTCGAGACACCCAAATGACTCCAGAGCCATAAACCACAGTAACGGTCTTGGTACGAGGTTCAGCAATTAGTTCCAGCATACACGAGCATATGAAAGTTGTCTCACATCCTTGAAATTTGGGTATAAGTCGAAACTATTCAGCGACTAAGAATTCAATGAATTTGCCGTAAGTATAGCGTGCCAAAGAAAATGCAGCGATAAAGCACAAATTTGAAGGAGTAGGATACAGAAAAGTGACAAAAGTAGAAGGAATACAAGTAAAACTGAAAAGTAAGTGAAAGGGCAACATGATAGCGCTTAGCGCTTATGGAACTCAGGGGATAAACGCCTCACGATCGATGGTTGGTCATGGAAGGAGGGGTGCTGGCCTGGTAGATCACCTTTGTCGATATCTACTAACCGATTCGGAAGCTGGCCGAGTTCCCTCGGAATATGGAAAAAAACTTAACAGATAGGGAATCCGAGAATTCACAAGAATTCAGAATGTCTATAGTCTCATTTAGTTTCGATCCCATTCACCTACAGTAATTCCAGTTCTCGCTATCGATAGTAGTGACCCACCTCTGTCGGTCAAGTCAAACAAGGCGGTTTCTGATCTCCCTTCATTCTCAAAAGAATCAACCGTGACTGGTGAGCAGAGGCAGTGAAGCTGTTAAGTTGCTCCTAGTTGTAGGTTAATTAGTGATCAGTCGTAGGCCACATTTTCCAACTATGGACCCCTTCTCTTTGTACCGAAAAAAAAGGTCCACTTCTAGACGTGCCAATTGCAAACTGTCACACTCAACTTCAGCTTTTGACCCTCCCTTGCGTCTGCTATGAAAAATGCCTTCTGGGGTTCCGAAAAGACGACTTTACTCAAATTATGACAACTAAGAATAGCTCAACTCCGCAACCCTCCCTTTACACTCCCAGGAGAGTTAAGACGATGGCGACACACTTAACACCAGTTCGGGCTCCCCTGAAGTTGAAAAAGGGCTGGATGTTGCTGGAACGCTTCACCCATTCGTGCTCATAAAGGCATCTTTGGAGAGTCCCATTGTTTGAGAGCACTTTGAAAGCCATTCCGGGGACATCAGGTGGTGCAGTAGGTTGAATGGCTACTACAACCTTTACAAGTTTAATTGATTTTTAAAGAAAGGTATTTAGAAAACAACAACAAAGCATCGAATTGAAATTTAGGTAATCCCATTCGGTAAAGGAAACTGTGAATATGACTACAACAGAAACTTCCACTGCAAATGTATGCATGGACCTACCGAATGTGACCTGAATCGACTTCAAAATTGTGCGATCTCCGTGAGTTTTCTCCTTTTTACTAGTAGCAGAACCATTACTGATGTATTTTCACTTTTAGTACTTCCCTCGTCGACACCTGGGTCTGATCACATGCATCCAAGGATTGTCTACACTTCGTGAAGCATTCAGTCGTTGTTTGAGTCGACTTTCTGTTCGAACCCAAAGGTAACTTGTTTATTCAAAAAATGATTCCTCCAAAAGCAAACAGTGTAGAACGCTTGACTCCGATCTGTCTGCTCCTAGAGAACGCCATGCATTCGACTTTAGCTCAAAAATGTTAGTTACTGGTGTATTCGGTCAATACGGGAGGCGGTACTTTTCCCCGAATTCCCACGGCAAGTGCCAGCGGTTCTGCGGCGGCTACCGTATCCTCCCACAGGGGTTCTCTACTGTGCCATTCGGATCAATCCATGAGAGTCGTATTCTAAAATCACTGGCAACTGCCAATTTCGTCCTCCCTCTCCGAAATATTCAGTTATGAAGGACCGAAACGGAAAGAATGATTGTCGTTGGTGGGATTCGATCGAGGATATGATAACCTAACCATGCGGCGCCATTTGCCACATCCTTTCATTCATCCTCCTTTCGTAATTGAATCTTTTATCTCTTAAAACATTGGAAAGTCATGATTCCATTCAGGAAACTAATTGAATGTGCTACGACGCAAACCGGGGAGCTGTTGAACTACTACTCTATGGTGAACACACATCGAGCAGGAGTTAAAGTAAGTCCCGTCAGTTCTACTATAACTGCCTAAAACTGTGCCATAATTCACTCCCAACCCTCAGCTACGAGCCGCCATTTTGCGCAGTTTGGCTGCATCCATACTTAGCGACTTTGTTCACAGTACACACAATGTAGAGCATGGCTTGTTGGCGATCGAAAGATGAGCAACCAACACTAATTCCACCTACCTAATTTATCCTATCTAGACTAACGTATCCCGATTCAGTGGGTAAAAATAAAAATGTGCCATCGATATTGCAGTGCTAAATCTACGTCATCAAATACAGTAACACCAGGAGGTTCTGTAAAAAAGACTCTTCTACGATGACCTTTTTATACATTAATAACCTTTGTTGTTTTACTTGTTTTAGAAATGTTTTGGAAAAGGGAAGTTTTGAAAAACAAAAAGTATGTATTTGAAAACAAATAGAAGAAGATAGGGAAGAAGCGTCACCTCCGTTGCTTGACAAAATGGCCAAGTTGATGAGGAGAGGCTTATTACTGACATTTAAAGTAGGCCTGAGTTGACCTGATCTCCAACTATAAACGTAGCTTACGACACTGAAGAATCGCTGCGATAGGTTGTGAAAACGAGTGTTACAGAGAGTTATTATTTAAAAGGTTCCACCTATTAAGGTGATTTCTTTTAGATCTGGCCAACAATGTACGTTAATGGAGTGTTCTTCGATCGAAGCTATCCCGTTGACCAGAAGATTTGTGAGCAAACAGCTTGGTGCTGAAGAACTTGTTCTCCAACATATGTCACGATATCATATCGCTATTAGTTACTACGATGGTGGAAAGCACAACGCCATCCCGTAATTTATTAGAGGCCAGGAATTACGTTTTCTGTTGTAAACGTGGATTTTTTGTGATCCATGATCCAGATTGCCTTGATCTGTTACTCATGTGCTCGCTCCTTTTCCTCTTGTGTGCCTATCTGCTTGTCTGTCTTCCTGTCTGTCTGCCTGTCTATCTGCCTGTCTGTCTGTCTGTCTACCTGCCTGCCTGTCTGTCTCTGTCTCTTTCTCTTTATCTGTCTATCTGTCTTATTTGTTAGAAGAATACTTGAACCATTCCAATACTCGGATTTCGTCCGATTTTCGCTAACCTCTTTGAACGCCACCTTTTTGACGGCTAAACCGGGATTGATCCAGAAAAGCAATGACATGACTTCACGGAGTATCGCTCTTTGCATTTTTTACGTTTAGATTTCGAGCTAATAAGGAATTTTCCCTTCAGAATATCGGCACGAAGAGGGGCTCCCATCTATGTTGAAGTGGATGTATCACAAAGTTTCCAAACATGCCACGCATTCGGCTTCCAGTCGGGATAGGAGGCATCCAAATACCTTTCCGGTCTACACAATGACTATCAGTTACCAGCCATTATGCCAGTCAGTCACGGTTTAGGTGCCCAAAAAAAAAACGGTGCCTGCACTATTGGCCTCATCCTCACCTCATCCTGTCATAATCTAATTCTGCCCTACCTGAGCTTGGGTAAAGGGAAAGAAGAAATCGAGTGATTTTGAGGTCATGTCATGAGGTACTGCTTCCTTCCTTGATGTTCAGAGACGCCATCGCCATAACTTATTCTTGTCTCTCCTAAGATATAATTCCATCGCTCTGTTTCCTCTTCACCTAGCACGTTGTACAGAAGTTCTAGAATTTGTCTTAATTATAGCTATTAACTTGTCCATGGCTCATAGAAGTCTGGTGCATTATCAGTTGGCCTTGCTTTGTTCTTTTGGTTCCAATAAACCTATAAAACCTTTTCATATCTGAGCTCAGGAAAGTTGCACTTTCTAAGAAACACATGATGAAGGTCATCTCCATACCGCCTTGTGCCTATTTTTATATTACTCTCCGAAACAGTCAAATGAGCTCGGCAATCTTAGATGACCTCAGCCATCCTCGCTCATCTCTCAAATGGGGGTTTTCATTGCCAATTCAGCGTTTTTTTACGACAGGTCAGCCAAAATGATTCCCCTTTAGTCTTGACGTCAATCTGCAAAATCGCTACTAAACTCTGGTCTTCTCAATCGGTCATACATAAAACCGTGGGCGGCTAGAATGAGGGAGGATGAAGAGTCGGGGAGAGGGGACAACTCTTGAACACTGCGATGTACAAATCAAAACAGCAATCGTTTCCGTTTTTTCATCCCAATCCTTGGAGGAACAATAGAATGACAAAGACTTGAGGCGTAGATCAATCCCTTCCGAGGGATGCGCCTCCGCATTCGACTTGCATTCAGAATCGTATGCATATGTGGCCTATACAATGACTTGCGGTGGCCAGCTGATAAACAAATTAGCGTTTTTATCCTCCCAGACGAGTCTGGTACCAATTAACCGAACCCAGAGGCTTGGTTGGTCTAGGAGGATATCAATTCTCGATTCGAACCTGTGACGTGCCGGTGTGACAGTGCGCACATTGCCACTACAGAACCTCCGTCCAAAAGAATCATAACCCTGTTTATTATGCATAGCGTACAATTTACCGCGATCCGAAGTACCTATTGGGCACCTGACCGACTACCCCATTCAATGTTCATTTTTTACGTAGGACTTGCCCTGTCTCCCATCTCTTATACAATGTAGTCATCCTACACAATGATTTGCGAACTTTGCTTTGCTTCCCTGACGGAACAACCTCTCGAAAGAGACGGTGGAGGTCGATAAAAGGTACATGGCACTCAGGTACATCGAAGTGCAGAGTAGAAGCGGTACAATCCTTCAGTATGCCCTTTTCGAATGAATTTTCAAGCTAGGATAGAACTGAATGGGAGCGAATTATACCAGTGTCCTATCTATAGCCACTACATAAAAGGTCGTTAAAAAAAGGAACAAGATCTAGACGTAACAATTAATTACGGTAGCAGAGTGGATGGAAGGATTCAAATTGTATCTAGAGCACTCTTGGATGATATAATTGAAGAAGGAATAAATAATACTTGGAAAAATCAACAAAGTATTCGAGCGAAGTTCAGCAACAGTGAAAGCAATTCAACTGACCTGAGATCAGAGATAAAGACAAGCGACTAAAGGTGAAATAAAGCAGTGATGAGGGCCATAGATCCCTGCCTCGGTTAATACTTCTAAAAAAAAGGACTAGGCTGGTCGTATAATGGGAAGAACGCATTAGCTTTTCCAAAACGGGACCGATAGACAACACAACACTTACATCATGGGTATTCAGGATAAAGTTTGACTGGGTATTAATGTGTATTCACAGGAATTTAGCCCAGCTAAGGGAGCTTTTCTCACAAGTCCATATGTACTCAACAATAGATGCAAAGAAGTAGAAGGAAGAATCAGCATAGGTGGAATCCAATTATGAGAACTTCAGACTCATGCCTAGCCTCAACAAAGATACCAAGAAGTTGAACCCAAAAGATGGGCGCTCAGATGCCGCTGTTGCAAGTCATTAAACTAATGAATCCATATTCATTCCCAAATGGCAAAAACCACAGCACGGAGCTTTGTTTATAACACTCGATGTTCACGTCACATTTTAACAATAGTTATTAACAACATTAATAATATGCGTAACAAAAATTACATGGATTAATTGAAAAAAAAATTCGGCTAAATAACGTCATACATAATTGTAGGCAGCGTAAAGCGAAACAACTGTTAGCAATAAAAACTCAAAGGAACAAAATAAATAAATGCGTAATTAAAGCATGTTGCAGCAGAACAAAGGGCCAGTATGCATCTTGGAAGTGAATCACATCATGGGTCTAACCCTTCAACCGGGCGACTAGGTTTTATCAAGTAATATCGTAAACGTAAAACTAACAACGAATAAACAAAAAAAAATCCAAGGGTTTGATAATCGGACAAAAGTAGCCATATTTTGGAATAGCGAAGGAGATCAGCGGCGTAGTCGAAGGGAAAAGCACTATTCAATGAAAAAGCACCAGAAGGAACTTAGAAGTTCTCTCGAGATATAATATTTAAGTATAAACAGCAATGGAACGACGATTAGGCAAAAACAGATCACTGGCTCACCTTTGCTCCCCGATAGTTAGGAAATAATTGGGAATTTCGATAAAAACGTTCCCCCCTCCCTTCATCTTGTCTTGTAGTGAAAACCACGTAGCACCCTACACGACTTGCTTGTTCTAGTCAGGTCAGGGGTGAAACAGCGCATAAAAACAAGTCATTGTTACATATCAGAAGTCTTGCTAACTGTTAAACAAGCCTCAGAACGGCCTCAGAATCCACGGCCTATCACAGAGTTTGGATTGTTGTGCCTTTTCACATGTTCGTCACGATTTCGTTTGTTCTGGAACTCTTGCTCACAATGGGGACAGACCAAATGCTCCGCGTCCAAGAAGAGTCGTGACTCATGCGACCTCCGTTCATGTTCACGTACACCGCGAGATGTGGCGAACGTTTTCGGGCAGTAGGTACACCTAGAATCAAGACCCTATGGCAAGCTAATACCAGCGAAGGTTTTTAAGAAATAGAAAATCATCTCGAAGGTTCAGAAACAGTTCCTTGGATCGAAAAGGACAGCCCTTCGAAAGTTAGGGTGGACATAGGTGTGAAGGGGCCCACGAATATATTGGGGGATTTTTCTCGGTTCATTAGTTCATTTTTCACGTGACTCACGAAGAGCTCATGCAGAGAGAGGCTTATACTCGGACTACCTTATCCACATGAGGCATGAGAACTACCGAAACGGAGTGTACTATTAGGTGAGAGCGTGAAGTTGGTGGAATTCGAAAAACGGCGCGTATAACACATTTCAGGTGAAGAATTACCCACTAAAGAACAGATTGGCCGCACATTTTGAACAACAAAACTGCTAGCGACTCAATGAAAAACTGCTTCCAACCCCATTTCTTTCCCGAACAATCCCCATCATCAACGTGCAATTCACTTACTTGAACGCTAACGGAATGTCTTCATGGCAGTCACCAATGTGCTTCAACAGTTTCCCTCTAGAATCCAGTACCTAAACAGCCATTTTAGCTGAGTTACTTGAGTTTACAGAAAAACGAAAAGAAATAGAACGTACTTCATCGCAGTGATGACAAGGAGAGACAATTTTCGTGCTCATCGAAGGGAAAAACTCAGAATGAGCTGAACTAGTGTGTCGTCGAATGTCATTCACTGTACGTCCTCTGAACTCGCAGAAATTGCATCTGAAAAGAGAACGGATGGAGAATGTTGGCTGGTACCATCAGAATTGTAAATGGACAGTTCTACTCACGGGTAGCCCTTAGCGCCATCGATGTGACTGATATCCACTGGAGGAGCTGTGTTTTGCTTCACCATGTTCTTTACAATTCGTTGAGGGAGCTCGTCGAACAGCGTGGTTCCAGCATTCGACGATCGCTTTACTGGTTTCGACTAGAGCAAGGAAAATTTTTTTTTTACATTCAGTTCCAATTGAGCAGAAAGTTAAAAGGGATCTGAGATGAACTCACCTTGATACTGCCATCAGAATCCAAGTAACCATGCAACGCATCTCTAAGATTTCCTTCGGTCGAATCTGGTTTCTGAAAATTATCATACATGGATCTGAAACTGTCGATTGTGAAAATATGCACGATGAAAGTTTGACGAGTTCTTGCAATCATTCTAGTTCATACACGGTCAATTCTTAAAAATGGTGAGCTTGAGCTGCATCCACGCAGAGTGCGCATACCAATTAGCGGACAAAGTTCACCCAAGTCCATTTAGCCTTTTAATCACATTAAGTCAGTTATGATAACCGACTCGTCTGAGACGATTAATGCTCAAATTGTGCAATGACAACAATGACACCCGCTCATTATAGTTAAGAACAAAGAAGATTTTGTAAGCTTCCAGGCTAAGAACGAAACTGAAAAGATAGCAATCGTATAATAGAGCTACTTTTTGATTAGGTAAGCGACTCAACAGATATGGTTACGGTGAAAAGGTTTGCTCGGGAAACTGATCTGACTACAAGATATGAAGGTAAAAGTCTTGGGGTATTAACCAATCCCGTCTGAGGGATGCGCCCACGCATTAGACTACCGATCAGAATCGTAGCGACGTATTGAACGCATATGTGGTCTCTACAAGGCTTACAGTGGCCAGCCGATGCACAAGTCAGAGCTTCTATTGCCTCAGACGAGTCTGGTACCAATTGTCCGACCTCGAAGGGATGGAATACTTGATTGGCTTAGCGGATATCGATCCAAAATTCGAACCCATGATCATGTATGTCTGATGTGCACCATCTCCGCCCGATCTAACTATAACCAAGACGAAACTACATTGCTATGTATCAAACTCACAGATTCAACATTTGGAGACAGAAGTTCGGCCTTGCGAGGTGGAAGAACAGCACGAGTTGTCAAAGAGAGCCACGATAATAACTTCCCTTTAATCAATTTGTTATAGTTAACGGCAAATCGATCGAGCATTACAAAAAATTCTGCTTTCCCCACAAAGAATTTTGAAATCAGGTGCAGAGTGCAGCCAAAAATAAGTATTCTAGAGTTTCATAACTAGTTAGGGTATAGTTTCATTAACTACCACTGATTTCTTTCGTTCAACTTCAGCTTACTATACCAGTCGTTCATTAATTGCTACAAACTCCAATCCCAATTACAAAAGAGATACCTGCGTTTTCTGCAATTAATTACCCTTGAAACTTTGTACATCTCACTAAACCACTTATTAGTCCACTCTTTCAACAGAATTGGGAACCGTTTCTGTATGATTCTACAGCATACTTCGGCCCCCATCCCTTTTGAATTAACGTAAATTGGCCATGAGGAAATCATAACAATAACGAGTACAATAGAAAATAAACATAAGCAACAGGGGGTTTCTATCTGAAATTTTTGTCTCTTCACCGTTTCTCTGAATTGATCTCTTCCATTTGAGATATCATTAAAAATTCATCAATCATCGATTAAAAACATAAATCATTGAACAAACCTGACACTGACTGATCGGGCTGAGGCGTCAAGGAGGGCTTCCTGTCCGGACCAGCGCTTTCTTCATTACTCTGACCGCTATTTCGTGGATTGGCGGAGCCGTTTGGTGGCGTCGACAGTTTCGAGCTTTCGCTACTGTCGAGAATTTCTTTCTCTTAAATACAATAGCTTAGAAATTCGGAGTTCATAATAATAAAGGGTCGAGTCAAGAAGAAGCGGGAGACCTTATCTCTTTCTGGGAACATGCAAAACAACCCCTGACTGAAAACTTGGCAACCCTACTTACACTCACAAGGATAGCGAGTTGTGGGCGAAATTAGACCTCGGTTGGGACTTTAACCCATACCTGTGGTTGATTGGCACCGCGATTTTTATCCTTTGGACTACCGTGGCATTTTATGACCTGATCAGCACTCCACAACTCGTCGTCTTAGTCAGATATTCGTAGCGTAATAACAGCAGTTAACAAGACGGACGAGTTTGTTTGTACTACTTTCATAAGACTCACTCAGCTGGAATCCAGGAGGTTCCCCAGGTTGCTTTGACGTTTCATTGGCAACATCTGAAGCTGTAGAGTCCTTGGGCTGAAAACATAAAAATAATACGGAAGCAAGCCCTAAGGCACAGAAAAGCTAAATGTGGAGATGTACAACAGGCATCCAGCCTGACATAAACTGCATCTGAGTAGTTCCCAATTCATAATATTTACCAAGCACATGATGGTACAAACTTTCCAAAAATGTAAAAAGGACTTGTGGAAAAGGAATCATGGAATTCAAGATTTCCAGCAGAAGTGTGATAATTTAATTTTGCTCCATCGGCCAATAATAATCCCCCCCCCCCATAGTAGATACATATGATATGTGAACCATACGAGACTTGCCACTTTTTCTCAGAAAGAAATGTCTGTGGTACGACCCACGACCAAATATGAGGGCAAATTTGCGAGGAACTGCAAGAAGACCACACAAAGCCTCGAAATTTATTACCTTAGCATCTCCTTCACAATGCGTACTTTCTTCAAGGTCCAATGGTAATCGAGGAACACGATCATTGACCGGGGCTGAAATAACAGTATCGAAATATAGTCCACCAATGTCATGTTCAACAAGAAAATATCGTTACTTCACAGTAACTTGGTTAATCAATGATATACTGAAAAGTTACTGTTTCAGATACCACTGTGAGGTACCCATCTGAAATCTACACCTTTGGGAGCTAATAATAACGGTTTTTATTCTTAGCCCCTCCATCGCAGGTCAAACAAAGGTCAACTGTCGAAAGATCGGTGCCACAGCAATGTATAGGAAAAAAAATGCAAGTTAGCCCATGGCTATGCTGTTATTGTTTCGTAGGCGCAGTCATACAATGTCTGTACAGTCATGTAGGCATGCACAACAATGACACGAAAGCCAGTACTGTGAGAGAGTAGGGATCGTGAGTAAAAAGTTTGTAGTAGTAATTATCAAAAGAGTGATTCATAAGAGAATCAAATACAAGTTCATGAAATAAGGGGCGAAAACCTGCATTTATGAATCGACCGGAAAGTGAACTTTTGCTCTTACCGTTAGTTCGCGAACACCGGCTGGAGCTTCTTGACGACTCGTCCGCAGTTGATGAATCACGAGAAGCTTTAGGTGCTTCCCAGCTTTTCTTTTCGTTCCTATTGTTCTGCCGTTCGAATTCGCGACATCTTGCAATAATCTCTTCAATATTCAATTTGGTATCCGAACTGAAATACAACTTCGAAAAGCAATGATGTATGCTAGAGAACATACGGGGACAAATAATACTCACTCTCTTCTAGCCGAATCGTGCTGTCCTTTTGAAGCCGCATTTCCATTCGAAGCATCAGAAGCCGTACTTTTACGAGTAGAAGGTCTCACCTTCTGACTTAAAAAGAGAGAACATTACATCGCCTAATTATTTACGCTGTCGCTGTTAGCAAATATGTTCTAAACTGCTATATAGAGATAAGGGAAACTCAACGGTGAAACCACGAATCACAAAGATTCTTCAGAGGTGCAGCAAATCACCACAATCTCATCATCACCCACAAATGCCATTAAAGGTCTCATGGTGAGCTAATCGATTTCAATTCGAACGGAGTGACTTCAACTTTTCAGACTTAGGTTTAATTCTCTTTTCGACTTCAAATCTAATGTAAGGCCGGAGGGTCCGCCTATAAAGCAGCACCCTTGGAATAGTATTGCTAAGAATTATTGCTAATAACAGTCATTGACAAAACCAAAAAAAAACCTTAAGGAGGCATCAGTCAAGAAGATCCAATAGATAAGAATTGAGTTCAACTCACCCCTCATGAACCGACGTGGCATGCTTCAGTAACGGACAAGTATCGCTAAAGGCTGCTTCACACAAGGCACATTGCAGTTTTCCCTTTTTAATCGACGTGACAGCGTCGATATACGGAAATTCGGATGCTACATCCCATGATCCACTAAATAAGGCAAATCAGAAAAAAAAGAAAGAAAAGTAGGCATGTAAGAAAGCCAACAGAAATATCCACGATTTTTATGTCAAGCTAAGTCTTTCCAAACATGAACACGAGCAAAAAGCAATACCTAATATAGGAATTGTTAAACCTCGAGAATTAATTGTGAAAAATACCTTGCAAGATACTTCTCAACGTCTTTCGGTGAGTTACGATGGAATTTCACAAAATGCGCCAGAATAGTAACCCGAATTGAATAGCGCGAGGATCGAAGCAATAATCGATTGCACACGGTGCAAACAATGGGCGACTCGCTGAACACATTTTATTTAGGGTGACATACCGGAACTCTGAAGATCGAAGGTGATAAAGGATACTCACGTCTTACGAGGCAGCTCCTTCTTCACCGCACTATCGTCATTGGAATCTCTGCAAAAAAGGGAAAATTTTCAGGGTTTGAGAAGAAGTTGCGGCGAAAAAAACCATCAGTTTTAATGAAAAACTCCAAGACAGTAATGACACAATGCAAACTCATGAAGAAATCGAAGGAGATTCGTAATGCATCATCAAACTCACGTTGCGTGTATTTTGGAATGATGTATGAGTGCGTTGCTATTTGAAGATGTGAAGTCGCATCCAGAACAAGCGTAAGTGAGACATTTACTACGACTCAGTTCAATGCTTCGTGATCTATCCAAAATCAACAACTCTGGAGAGTGGTCCGCCTCACTAGAATGAAATACGTACACGAACGTATGCAGTTGGCAAAATAAGTTAGTATTTCATTAGAATTCAGTAAATAGGCAAAATATGGAAGCTAAGAGATGATTATCATACTAAGCAAACACGGCTTCTTGAAGACGGTTCTCATCGGTGATATGTTTCTCCAAAATGTGACATAACCGTTGATATGACTCCTTCACTTCACTACAGATGCGAATTTTCTCGCCACATAGGGAACAAGGTTCCGGGTAACTGCTGAAACATTGTCATCGCAAAAGTGCAAGCAACTATTGAATTCTCACTGATTTATTGATGGAATCCGAAAGCAGTTCAGAGAACGAATGAAAAAATCCCTACCCGAGATCTTTCATCAAATCTTCATGATGACGGGCATGCATTGCTATCCTTCTTGAAGTGTCAGTTTTGAAGCCACAAATGACGCATTGAAGCACTGGCTTTCCTGAATTTGCATACAATTCATAGAATAAATAAATGGGCACATTAACACTTTCAAGGCTGTTTACAAGACCATAACGACAGAAATGAGAATTAGGTCAATGAAACCTTCAAAACGAACTCAAATCAACTTCTCGTTTCACAGAGGAGAAGCGGTTAGAATAGTGATCCACTATCTGGGAACAAGATGCACATTAATGTTCAGTCGCAACCGAACTTGGCGCTCAGGATATCTTGTCTATGAGACTACTTAAAGTATGCACCAAGCGAAAAAGGGTTAGAGCAAAGCATTACCATCTAGACAAAAAGTGGAAACGACTGCGGCAATGACTAACTAACACTGAAGACCGGCCTTTAGTGGTCTATAAGTATAACTCATAAAAAATCGAACTAGGTGTTTTTGCACGGTGAACTAAAGTCTGCAAAGGGATGGAACAGTTTGCTTGCATCATGGCCGAACTAAATAGAACTACCGCGGCAGTGCTACCAGTACACCAACCCCATCAAAGTCCACTAATAATAACTAAATGACAGTAACTCGGACGAAATTCTTCAATGACTTGCATACCAATGTTAGCAGTACCCTCGACCGAAGCTTTAACATCAATATAAGGAAATTCCTCGGCGCATGTAGAGGAGTACCTGAAAGAGGGGCAATACTTTCGAAAGCGGAATGACGTGCTGTTTGCATACAGTGCTATTATTTAGGAAAAAAGAGCGAAAATTTTGAAGGGCATACCCTGTAACAAGCGCATTTTGCGCCTCCTGATCATTGATATGAATGTTGAGAACATGAAGAAATGTCGACACTCTTTCTGAGTATTTCTCAGTGATAATGATGTTCTTTAAGCATAACCTAAATGCAGATATTCAGTCATCTACCTTATTTCATGGGGTTAATCCAGTTTCGGCGAGGTAATTATCATCGAGCATGACAACCGCAGACGCCTCCAGCTGGTACAATTTGCAAGTAGGGGAGTGGTGAGCGATTTTGTATAGCGTAATTAAAGAAGTCAAAAGCAAGATGATCACCAAATGGCATGAGCCGTAAACCTGCTAGTAATCTAGGTAGAGTCCAACTATACATTGTACGTGAAAGCCAGTTAATAATTTTTGGATAACTTCACTCAGATGCTTCACCACACTTTATACACAACCCTTTTCATGGAATCGAACGTCAGAACACACATTGAGGCTAGTTCCATTGCAAAGTCGAAATGGGAGAAAGAGTTATACTTTTTTAGGTCCAAAAATAAAACTCTAATACATTAAGTTTTCATGTGAATTCATCTACAAAGAGAGTTCAGTATAGGGCCTCGAAGACCACTTCAGCGCATCAAATAAAAGTTTAAATGTAAACAAGGACTATAGGAGAAAGGAGAATCCAATGCTTACTTGCAAGTCATAGATGGATGCTTTCGTATCTTGGAAGAAAGCGGCGTTTTGCTTGGATCTAACAGGCTTCGTTTCCTACCGGCTCTCTGCTTACTCTTCTCGATGGCACACTCCGCCGACGCTGATCTGAAGCTCGAACAGAATGGTTGTCACAAATATACTGTATCCACGAAAAAATGTCTTACATTTGGTCAGGACGATCGAAGCAACCGCTCCCCCGCCTTCTATGTGCGAAATACTTATTTCCTTCGATTAAAGTTCTAAAAAGAATCGTTTGGAAACGACCACAGCACCTCAGTGAAGTCACTCACTTGCACCAAACACACATTATATGGCATTCGCCGGATTCGACAGATGCGTTGAGGGATTCTTGTACATCAAACTTAAATACAGGTTCGCTTTCCATGACAGATTCGTGCTTTCTGTAACACGCCGACATGGCTTATTAATGGCATAATGCGATGAATGCACAAAACTTGCTACCATGACACTGTAGCACTCACTTCATCCAGTTTTTGACCCACGATACTGCATCCGGATCCGGCAAGTGGCATATCATAACATGAAGAAGCCGTAGAACATTATCAGTAATACCACTTTTGAGACGTTGCAATCTTTTACTACATCCGAAAGGACATTTTGGCGCTCCACTGAATCACTATTATAAAGACGGCTGTCAGCGCAGATTCTCAAATGAGTGAACTTGATAAGAACTTACGAATAATGTTTTTCTGTAGGGTGATAACGCTTAGCATGCTGCTCTAACTCATATGGAGAATGAAATCCACGATCACACTTTGCGCATTGAAGACATAGCTCTGTGCTGTTCACAGAATTAGCGAAAGACTTCGCAACATCCAAAAAAGGAAATTCCTCTGCAAGTTTTTCGGATTCTCTGGAAAGCAAGATTCTCACTTTTGGATAAATAAAAGAAATGAGTTGGAATGAACTGACCCTAGTTTTAATGCCGTATCATAAGCTTCTTTATCTGCTCCATGGTGAGATATCATGTGTGCGATTTGAGTGACGGAATTGGGATACTTGAAGCTCGGGCGCCATGCAGAAACACACGTCGACAAAGGGCATTTAATTCTGAAATAGCATAGAGCAGCAATCCACGACTTGAATCAAATTACTGAGTGAGAGCAATCCAACAAACTATAATAACATTTCTCTATGATGAGATTGGACCAAGTAAACTCACGCTTCATGTTTCCCTCTGCGCTTGGGAACTTTACCAATGGTAGATGGCGACTCGAGGACCAGTCTTCCCTCACGAAGATCTTTACGATATCGTCCACAAACATTGACACAACAAGCCCAATGAACACGTAGGTTAGCGATTCTGTCGAAGGCAGCTTTCTCACACGATGAGCACTTCAGCCATCCATCCTGGAAAAGCCTCATTTCGTTCAAGAAGGTAACGTTCGCAAAAGCGCACTTTAATCAGACCTTGTTCACAGTTCACACCACCTTATTGTTGCAGAAAAAGTTAGAAACGGCAGAGCCAACCAATTCGGTACTTACGTTACTATTTCCATAAATTTCTATGTAAAAAACGTAAAATGAGAGCTATTCTTAAAACTCATGTATCCTTGCTCTACTTAGCCCGCTCTGCGTGGACAAATTTCTCCAATTTACCCTCGATTTACCCATCACTAACCCTCGCTCTTTTCTTTTTCCTTCACCTGTCTTCAACACCACGCTTGTTTTCGTTTTGAGCATATCTTTTCTAATGTTTAGTGGGCATTTTTCGTTTCATTTTCATCTATCATGCTGTCATTCCATACCTGAGGGCGCAGTTCATGGTTATACCAAGCGATACCTAGTTCTTATAAAAAAGGAAAGTGAATGCGCATGATAGGGGCGGCTGTGGGTTTTTCTTCTACCCGAACTGTTTGCTGCGCTCGCCGCGTCCGATCGCGCGAATCGGGCGCTGTGAATTCGAAGATATAATTTCACGAGGGAGATTACGGTAACCGCCGCGAGACAACAGCCGCTTGATAGCTTCACCTAAACTGTGCAAAGATTGTGAAGAAAGCGCCAAAATTAGAGGATTTTGAGGAATTCAAAATTTATAGACAGTAGTTAAAAGAAGAGGTTGTAAGAGAATGTGACAAGATGAGTGGCGTTATTTCTAAACTTTTTTGTTTTTTGAACGGTCCAGCCTCCACAAAGCCAATAGAAGACGGGCATTTTTAGATGTGGAGATCGGCCAAGATAGTATTTGAGTCCTTACGCTCCCTATAAAGATTGATTTTGACCCTACATGCAGCGCCCCACGTCCTTTGGGACCACAGGTTCGTCCCAGTTGGAAATCTTGGAAACCACTTCTATCGCAAACTGGGCCCTTAAGCTGTTGTCTTCATGCTTCTTCACGTAATACTGCTGCTTTTCTACACACAAAAACACAAACATTTCATTTGTTCTACATAAAACTGAACAGAACTATTCAATCACTAGTTTCTACACTCAAAGTTCGCTGAAAGAAAAAGAGTTCAAGAGAATGAAGTCAATGGTCAATACTCATAATGTAAAGAAAAACGTTTTCCTCTTGCTGTTTCGCCTAGGATTGCACTTCCTCATTCACCACATGGCAATCGTGCCTTTTCACTTCCCTTTCTCTCAACACAAGTTTTCGGCTACATTCACCTCCTTTTATCTTTTATCTGCTCTTACTTGGAATTTAGTACAAAAACTGTTAAAAAAGAATTCGTACACAGAACTCTTCAATAATTCATCGCATTCAAGCTACACCATAACAAAAAAAAAAGCCAGTAACAACTTACTCTAGTGGGCTCCAGCAAAAATTTCAGTGGAGTCTGACGACCATTAGTTGACATATGGAACCTAAATGCAGGAGCTAAGACGATAACGAAACTATAAATTAAGCGTCGTACGAGTAAATCAACTCTACCGTTTCGCATTCAGGACCCACAACGCGGCGGGATCTTTGTAGTGGAACTTCACAACGTGAGCAAGCATGCTTTCCTCCTTTATCTCGTCATTTGCGAAAGCCGGAATACGCAAACCACGAGATCCTCGAGCAGTCTGCAAAATTACAGTTGGTCTACAAGCAAATAAAAAACAGTCACCGAAAAGACTGCAAGAGATATTAAACGCACCGAGCAAAACGGACATTCATTACGGGCAAGGCAAACGAGCTGCTGAGTCTGCTCTGCATCTAGCGGTGGCGGAGGAGGCCTGTAAAAAGCTTAGTAATATTACAATGACATGTTCACTGGATTATAACTGTACATCTCAACGATGTGTAAATTTAATTAGAACAGAATTCAGCTTGAAAAAAAAAACTTATTATTCGATTAATAAAACAATAAACTGACCCTTCCCATAGGAATTTTTTATGAATGAGCTGTTTGTGCTCTTGAACATCTAGATTATCTGGACCATAAACAGGAGGCGCAGCTTCAGGCTCTTAAAATAGAAATTTTAAATTCGAGTAATCAATTGAAATTTTAATCAAAACAATTATGATTCTGTTTATTTCGATCTCTCAAACATCATAGAAAGAACAGCAACACTAACCGGTACTAGTCTCGATAACTGTGGGAGGATCTTCAACGGGTTCAGGATCTTCAACAGGTTCAGGATCTGGGGGAGGTGTAGCAATCCTGATGGAAGAGGTACTCACCGCTAGAGTGCTTTCGCCCCTAAAAACGGTAGTAAAATATGTGTTTTTGGGGCGATTTTCTATGGGAAAGTTGACAAGATTTGCTTACTTCGGCATAACGAGGCTATTGAAAAGGGGTTCTTCTCTCTCGGATATAATACTGATATCCACTTCACCTGCTGTTGTATCTTCGGCGCCTAGAACAGTATATGAGTGCAACATTCATGCTACAAAATAGAAAAGAAAAACGTTTACCAGCAGGGGAGTGATTGATCGTTTGAGTGAGATCATTAGCTGATGAACACTCCGATCGTGGTACGAAAATCTCCACCGCGTGCACGTCACCATCCAAAGCAGCAGAGGAAGGATGCTAAACCAGGGCTATGCTACGACACTTCACAGATACGACTGCATTTATTTTCTGTCCACAGCGCCAAGTATAGCAAGGAAGAAGTCACAAGCGTAAACGAAAGCAGAGAAAAATCTAACGGATAAATACCATCCACCTCCTTCTTGCACTTCAACTGTGGCTATATGACGAGATGAAATACTAGAAAATAATTAAATGAAACTACTCACCGAATTCCCACTTTGCTCTTCGTTACGTGTGGCTGGCGACCTAGCACCCGTTGAATCTGTAAAATAACCAACCTCTAAAACAACATACAGTCAAGTACATAAAGTATCAGTTACGGCAGTCGGGCGCGCTTAAAAGTAGCCGTGTCCAAGTTGGAAAAGTTGCAAATCGATCACACAGTTTCGAAAAGAGAAAAAATGCAAAAGTATTATAACGAATGTATAGAATGCGAAAAATATCGATAAATCCGCCCACAATGCATGTGTCTAGAAAAACATTCGCTTAATGACTCTAGAAAAGTTGATAGAGTTAAGCGAAACCCCAAAAAGGGCCGAACGTGAAAACGCGCCAACAATTTTCTACCAGGAATGAAGCAAGATGAAGCCCATAGCCAGCATCGATAACCACTTCACGGATGTAAGATGGCTGAGATCGGAAAAAACTAGGTGGACAAGATATTAGCCAGAGACATGGGTGCGCGACCAAGTCTTCACGAGGGCTAGACGCTCTTAATTGGTGCAAAAGCCTGATAATTCGATTTCCAATGCCAAAAGGTGGAAAGAAATTTGGCAGCAACAACTTTAAGAGGACAGGAGTTCCGAGTAATCGAAGTTACGTCAAGTTGAACTGAACCTGCGTGAGAAAGTAGAGGCATTACAGAAAAATGCAATGTTTATAATTGACAGGATGCCTCTATTCAGTCATTTTAGCGATATCAACAGCAAGTAAAAAGTTTTGCGGGGAATATTCGACGTAATATACAGCAATGGACCAGCTCAAGCTTTGAAATAAGAGTTTCATGAAGGTTTGAAAATAAAATTGCATACGTAGCCCATTGAGAGAAACATCACTCAGCAGTTGTGCCGAGATGACTCCAACAGCCAAAATATAATAGTTGGCTGATGAGGAAGTCTCGAAACACAAATCTATATGTATCAACGTTTTTCCATAGGAATTTGTCAATCTCGGAGCATCAGCACATTTTAGAACATTTTCAGGATCATCACCAATGATATTCCAATATAACCCTGAGCGTTTCCCTCGTAAACCATGTTGCAGCCGTCGAAAGGTCAACTTTGAGCAATCGTTTTCTACGAATGGCGCTACGGCTATAGTGCTCGCTCTGCCGATCACAACATCAAATAGCATTCGTAAAGATCATCACCAGCCGCGCGACCGTTAACAGCTTAATTGTCGCTTTCAGTTTGGAGATTCGACGCCCGGATGACTAGTTGCTATCGATGTCGATTTGTTGGTGAAGTGAAGAAGAGGCTGGAGAATATGAGCATTGGATTGGCAGAACTTCTTGAATGCGATCAGAGCAACGTCGTTCGACACCTCTACGAATACGTTATAGGAGAGCTTTGGTGACAGTTCCGTTCCAACTAGCCAACGATCTTCGCTAGACGATTTCTCAATCAGCCAGTCGTTTCCATGCACCTCCAGCGGAAGAAGCCTCTGTAGGATCTAGTGACTGAAGATGGGTGACTGCAGACTGCAGTGCTCTTAGGGCTCTGGAGAAATGTTATATCAAGAATGGCTCCCTCAAACCCTGACAGCCATCTTGGCCATCGTCTACAGGCCAGCAGTCAGCTCCGGGAATTTGGAGAAAAGCGACCAAAAAGCGTTCCTGACCATCTTCTGCATGACAGCGCGCAGTTTCTCTCACAAAGGCAACACAGTGCAGGTTATAGGAAGTCAGCTGCAGCGACTTTGCCTGCCCCTCCCTGTTCCCTTGAATACGTCTCATCTGACTGATACCCTTCTAAGCACCTCAAGCTCTTCCTGACTGAAGCGAGGTTCCCCAGTTATTCGAAGATGCTGTGACCCACTAACAGCACTCCTCTTTCTGAGCAAACAGTATAGCCCACCTACCCCCTCTTTGGAAATATGTCATAGGTAATAATGGCGATTATACACCCAAGTGTTTCAAGACTTTTGAGACGACCTCATAATAACTGACGCTTTCATGACTCAGCGGCTAGCATGCAATTTGATTAGATTGATAAAAGCCAAATAGTTGTTAAGAACATACCATTAGATCCTTTTAATTGACGAAGTGCTTCTCGACCAGCAGAACCAAGAATTTTGTTAGGGAGAAGTTGCTACAAGAAAAGCTATTAAGCTTATGGGAATCTTATTCATAAGTTCATGTTTGGCTGAAAGTCAGGAATGTTAATTGGTGGCGTAATTTTGATCACTAAGAGAAGAGATTGGTAGAGAAGTCTAATGAGAAATAAAAACTCTAACCTCACAATCTATGGTTTCGGGATCGGATGAGAGCAGTGAAACTGGGAAAGCACTTATCGGATCATCCGAGAGAGCAACCCTAAAATGAAAGGGTTTGAATGAGTGAGATGAATCAAAGAATTAAGGAATTTTAACATTGAAAACTGAACAATGGCTTACTGTAGGATCTTCCAAAACAGTCACCACTGGGTACCCGATGGATAATCGCTCATTTTTACATGTCGACTCGGATAGGTGAAAAAAAAATATGGATGCTACAATTGAAGACGGGCAATTACTCCCCACGATTTTTCCATCTTAAACTATAAGTGATTTTAAACGCGCCGCGTGGGGAGCATTTAAGAATATCGAGGGAGTAGTGAAGAAGACAAAGAACATCCGGCTCCGCGCTTACCTTTTCGACACTGCTGTCCTTCCTGCTTTGACGTACGCCTCGGAGACCTGGACTCTACGAAAGCAGGATGAGCATGCTGTCAGCGTTATTCAACGCGCTTTGGAAAGGACGATGCTCGGAATTTCCCTATACACGCAAGTGCAGAAGGGAATCCGGAGTTCCGAGCTCCGTCACCGAACGAAGATCAGGGATGCCGTTGATTACGCCAAGAAATCGAAGATCAGGTGGGCCGGACACGTTATGCGATATAGTGATGACCGTTGGACCAGGGCGGTTACTGACTGGATCCCTCGGGACATCAAACGAACACCAGGAAGGCCGCCGACGAGATGGTCAGACTTCTTCACGAAAGCTCTGAACGAAAGGAATGTTGAACCTCGTGTCCCTGAAGCGAGAACGGTTCACTGGACCACTTTGGCTCGTGACAGGGACGAATGGAGACGTTACTGGCGCCCGCTCGAGGATTTCGATGATCAACGGGACGACAGGTGATACAGGTGAAACTATAAGTGATTTGAAAAAGGATTTTTCCACCCGAACCATGGAGGCTTCACGCTAAAACCTCATCATTAAACAGTTTGAACAGTCAATCTATAATAATGAGCGAGCGAGTCGAGAGTAGTATGTGGATTTGGGGCACCAAATCTTCCAAGGAGGATAATAAAACGTTGCAAGTTGACGTTGCGCAAAATCGCAATCAAATTAAAGAAAGTGGGAAAACATCTCGAAGGATACTCCCCAAATCAAAAATTGCTAGCTGTACCCGATGTCAATGTATCCGTGAGTAACAATATGACTGATGAACTCTGAAGAAAATCCACACCAGAAGCAAAAACCACATATCTGGAAGCAGAAACAGCTCATATTGTCGCAAATGTACTTGTAAGGGAGAAAATTTCACCTGTACATCACTGCATGATCTGGGCAGAAGCTTGGTTCTGAATGGGATGTTGAAGTGGTTGGGACTGCTGAAAAATGCTTGCTTCAACGGCCATTCAACGGAACTCAAAGCCTCAGAAAACCCTTACGTGGTATCAAATGCCTCATTGTCGAAGCTCCATGACAAAGGAGAGTAAGAGTATACATCTGTGCCAGTAGGTAACTCTTGTTGAAGGAGAGCCCTATGATCACGATTTCAGAAGCAGAGCTCACAAATGAGTCTATCATTTTGAAAAGTACCGTTCATATTGGAAGTACTCGGATGAGAAGAAATCCTGGTGATAAGTCTCGAAATGTTTAAGAGCATAGATCTTCAATAACTCCTTAGTTGGAAATTCTAAAACATCCTCAACGTGACCAACGACTGAGCTTTTGAGCACACATCGCCACTTCAAAAATGTAATTGAATCACAATCGTCGACTTCCTGAAAATCAACCAATAGCTACTATTCGCAATAAAATTAGGAGTAGCGAAATAGTTCTGAATGAACTAACCCGAATACGGAAGACTTTAGAATAACAAAGAGCAGGATATGGAAAATTATGCATGGTCATTGAAGGCGCATCAGCGATATCAGCGACCTCGCGGAATTCACCATGCTCCGAATGTCTGAAGTATGCGAAATGTCAAAAATATCAAAAGTGCTTAATAATCGCCAAACTTACGGTTTCAGCCATTCATGTCCTGCAGTTGAGAGATGTCGACCCAAAGACTTTTTAAGTATAGGTTTGAAGCATACAATACATATGCAGTAATCCGATGACCAGATCTCCTCCTAAAAAAAAAATGAAGACTGGAATGTTGCGTTCCATGCCAAAGAGGTAGGGTTACCTGACAAGGTCATTCTTGGCTTCCTATTGCTAATAATGAAAAGAATAAAGAAGTGTTTTAAAAAAAGACAAAAAGTGATGAAAAACAAGCATACCTTGTTCATACTTCTTCCGAACATTTCATGAACAAGGGCCTCACGATGAGCAGATTTTATTCCTCTGAGAGTGTAGAAAAAATTGTTCCTAAAGCAAACCAACNAAAAAAAAGTTTACCAAAGTCGCCATCAAGAATGATGCAGGCTACTGCAATTCGTTCAAAAGGAAGTGTGCGTCACATGAAGCAGCTTTTAAGCTAACATTTAAGGATATTCTATTTCTCGGAATATCTGCCTCATAACGCTCCTGCTTAACTCGAACTAGCTATCATCACCAGAGCAGAACGTGTAATCGCCTAGTCATTGCTTTTTCAAAAAGAGTCTCATTCACGTGAAACGTATCGATAATAATATCGATTGATTAAATAGCCATGTATATTGTAAACCGTGCCCAACCTTTCGGTTTGCCGCAGAAGCTTTGCTGTTTCGATGACATGATATTCCAGATCGAATCCTATCTCGTATGACAATATGGCCCTATAAAAAGTTTAGAACTCCTTCGTCATCATTGCAAACGCTCCACTGTATGAGAAAATTCTACAAGCGAGTGAAAGGGTATGCTAGCCACACCAAATATGAGAGCTGAGTCTAGACATAAGCTAGAAGGTTCGATGTACTTTTAGTTACCGTAATTAGGTAAAACCCTCTCGCTAACACGAGCGGAATGAAGTATATCGCACTGTAGGTCTTAAGAAGAAAACAACATGACAGTACTAACCATTCCTGTTGTATTGTCGTTTCAATGTCTTCAAGATTATGGTGCTCTACTGCGAAATGGCGAAGCACGAAAAGGCGTAGTGAAATATCATTATGAAAAGCCGAACACCTCGAAACAGCGTCTGACTCATCGCACAGAGGGCACAACCTTCAAATATACATAAATATATCAACAGATCTTCAAAAAAATCAACACAACTACCTTCAGTGAGTTCTAAAAGCTCACCAGGCAAAGGGTAGATTGGATGTTTGGCGATACTTGTAACGAAAAAGCGCTTTTCTATCGGATATAGTAAGGAACTTCTGGCGGCAATTTTCCCTATATTTCCCTGAAAAAAGGTGTTTTCAAAGTTTGCAGTTTCTAGTAGGCGTAATATTCAATGGACACTTTGAAATGATGGCAAATGTTACCAATCCAAGGTATAAAAATAGAAGATCAAAGAGAATAGATCTTATCTAACCCTCCAACTCCTCCAACTACAAAAAAAACACAGTAATCCTATAAAACCTACCAAGCCCCATCCTCGTAGATCCGGTGAAGATAGAGTTCTCAGGTATACGTGAGCAAGAATCATCTGCAGTTGAGGAACTTTTCAATGATCTTAAAACCGAATCATAACTTTTAGCAATCGTTGCGTTCTTGATGAAAATGTAGTGGGAAAACGTACGCTGTTAAGGAGTCAACCAACTGCTGATATTTGTGGGTTGAATTTGTGAAACAGATGACTTCACGCACTTCATACCTCTCGGTTTCTGTAAAGTGATATTTCTTCGCCGTTTTAACTACCAGCAATCTAACAATTCCACACCAACTAACAGCGAGCTGATGCGGGCGAAATGCCAAGTAATTCACAGAAGTCGTCAATCACTTTAACAAGTTGTTAAGCCCCATTTATTATTTTTACAAGGAAATAACATCCATTACGACAATTCAAACAGTTCTTGCGACAAATCTCTATTATTGGGAGGAAAGTGAGCATCAAACGATGTTGATGCCTTTGTATAAATGGAACACATATCTATCAAGTATTGCACATAAAACATAGAGAGTGTTCAAAAGAGAGGCAGCAGACAGGTTCAACATCAGGACAGCCAACGTATTAAAAAAAATGCATAGCTAATTCGGACTAACCACTATGTTCCTGCTTGAAGTGTTCGTCCATTTTAGACTTCTTATAAAAGTTGAAGCATGATGTACAGGGGGTTTTCAAAGAATTGTCTAGCTAAAGAATGTAAAATTCAGCTGGAATAATATTTTGATATACGTTATCATACCTCTCCTTCGTGTTTACGAAGATGTCGCAAAAATTTTCTCACTGTGAAATCGACCTTCAAGGTATTAGAGTAGATCGGATGCTCACATATTGGACATGTCAGCTGGTTGTTTTTGAAAAGCTTCAGGCTTATGTAGCTCTGAAATTTGGGAAAATTCTAACAATTTCGAACGTTCAGCTTTGGCAAAAATACGGAACACTTTTATATATCACTAAAAAACGACGGAAGTTTTGGAAACCTCTATAATGGAAGAAAAGGAAAAGTGGGAAAAGTAGGAAGCAAAAATGTCTGGTAATGTAAGACTGGTATTTCTTGCCAGACATGAGCAACGGGCATGGGGTATCCTTTGGACTGATTACCCTTTCAAAATTCACAAAGTCCCAGTCACGGTTGGCAATGCCCGCCTCACTTTATTCCACAAGACTTCTTGAGTCACGCATGTGGTGATCAATAAAATAGGGGCATTGCATTGTAAAGAATGAGGATAAAACTATTGGACAAACTCGTATTAAGGATGTGCCCCGCACTCGATTTTCCATTCGGAATCATAGTGGCGGCTTGAATGCGTGTGTGGCCCGGCCCCTAGAATTACGGTGGCCTGCATAAATCAGCGCTTTTATCCCCTCACACGAATCTGGAACCAATTAAGCGACCCCGAAGGATGTAAAACTTGGGTACCTAGGCGAGTATCGATCTGGGATTAAAATTCTGGACCATTCCTCCGACCGTGACGCGTTATATCAGGTTTAAATGTGATTCGAATTTCGCTCACCTAACTATCCTGATTCGCCGGTCACTGAAGGGTTACTTTGCATGCGACTGAGCGCATTCCTTTAGACTTATCAGTGACATCTGTTTATAAGTTTTCGAATTTCGCACACCTTCCTCATTCCCTTCTTATCCTTAACATTTTGAAGCCATATGAACCAACACCCAGAGCAAGCTTGATTGACCCTGGCATCACACACAGCATCGATCAACACACGCGCGCGATCGGTGGTGTAGTGGCAAGCGGCGCGCTATTAACCGCACGTGGTCACGGGCTCGAACCCAGTCCCGATATCCACCTGCACCAACCGAGCCTTCGTCCCTCCGAGGCCGGCCGATTTGTATCACACATGTGTGTGAGTATAAAAGCGATGATATCTGTGTTGGCTGGCCACCACAAGTCATTGTATAGGCCACAGACGCATTCATTACGCCACGCCGATTCCGAATGGAAGTCGAATGTAGCCGCATCTCTCCGACGGGATTGATTAATGCCAAAAGGCGAAAGACTGAGATTTTATGAAATATCGTGACCGTGGAATTAGTTTAACGTACCTCTAAGATTTTGACTTTTTCAAATGGCTCCCCATTAATTTCGTTGCCTTGCCGCTTTCTTGAAGTACTTGGGACGTCCGATTTCTAAAATATTATTTCATAACTCAATATAAAAAGACCCTTAACTATTTCAATGGCCTTTCAGAGCAAACAGATTGATCTCGTTTCATTCAAAGCTTGAAAGAGGGCAAAAGCCATTGATGCGAAAGCATCTAACATCTTTCATTATTAGTCCCCGAACTTCAAGCCTCACTACAGTTGAGAAGTTCTTCCCTAATTACACCTTAAATGAAGCCAAAACAACAACAATGCTTTGTACTCGTAAGAGTTGGGTGTAAAGGGAGCGTTCAGTAGACCTACTAAGTGATTATTAGACTGACTTCGAAAGTGTGAATAACTCACATCTGTTGATTCCTGTCGTGAATTGTAGAGGTCAACCAGCTCATCCCATCCAGAAACATTGCTACAACTGCCATTAGTGTCGAGCATTTTTTCAATAGTTGTTGAAGAACTAGCAACACTGCTTAGCCAATCAAAACTTCGATCCCTAATGGCTTCAACCATGTTGAAAAGTACCTGATAAAAACCAATGGAGTTTAGGAATTGATCATTTTGTATTAAAAGAACCTTATAACTCACAAGACAGTTCAATCGTTAGCACGGCGCAAACCGTTCGCCGTTCTTGCAAATTTCGATTGGGGCGCACTTGCTGTCAGGTGTTTTTTCTGACGAAGAGCACTTCCAATCTCAATTCCTATCTTTACACCAGATCATGTAGCAGTATTATGTATTTAAAATTAATAAAGCATGTTCGAACAATTTCGAAGATGTCTTAAGAGATTGAGCCTCTTTATAAGGCGTGAGAGCCCATCTGAAGGCAGTTCCCTACAGTTTAAACGCGAAGAGGGAAAGGGGCCTTTAAGGTTGACATTCAAAAAAGCGGTTCTTCACAGGCCCCTTGAGACAACCTTCGAGTTCCCATTAACGGTATTCTCAGTAACTTATGCCCTTTCGGGCCCTCCACTCCATTCAGTGATGCTACGATGTCTTATTGACTAGTGGGAGACCGGAAAGTTCTTGAAACTCCGGTGAAAGGTAATAGGTAAATGAAAAGCCGGCGAACTTGCAAGGCAGGCCCATTTTTCACATGCATAGATTCGAAGATAGCTGGATTCGTAGTTATACTCCTAAGAGAAAGTAGATCACATTAACTGAGAGAATGAGGCATTCCGAGAGCTCTTGCTAGGTCTCGAAGCTCTTAGAAGGGAACTAAATGGAAATTTGTAGAGGATCGAAAAATAGACCGAAGGCCTTTAGGGAAGCCCGGTTCCTCCTCTGCCACAGGCCTAAGGACATTCGAATGCGAACGAGTTGCTTACTAATCCCTTGATTGGACCCTATAGGGACTACAACAAGTACCATTAGAGACAAGTGTTCAAGGGAGGATAGAAACTTTTCAGGATAACATAGGGTACCCCAAATGACGATATTAAGCGCCATCGATTTGCCCCTTTCAGACATCTCTTCAATGCATAGGAGAGTGCGGAACCAATCGAATGCGATGAATGGGCGAGGCGGGTGTAAGGGAGTGACGGGCGCGGGGCCCGATCCGGACAATGGCGCCACAGCTGTGTGCTGGGCGGCGCATCCAGAGGGCGACTTCCAGATGGCTTAGGTTGTGCCTTCGATTGTTAGGCTTACTAACCAGTTATGCGCCAACAGATGCAACGTCGCATGGGAACCAGCCTATGGCAAAGAGAGCTCGGATGGAAATGCCAGCTTCCAGCTAGATTCCGATTGAAACTAATTAGGATACATGCACTCTTGACGATGTGGACACTCCTCTTTGAATAATGTGATGGACCAATTAACCAACGCGAGCACCCAAGCAGTTACTGACAAAATGCTAGAAATAAGTAGAACACGTTGGAACCCTGAGAGACAGGCCACAGAAATTAGCAGTAAGGTCAAGTGAATTCTAATGGCTGAGCCCTGCGTCACGCCTGCAACCCGTTGTTGGAGGCCGCAGTCGATCGATTCTTTTCAGCCGCGCCGCGCACACGACCAACACTCGAGGTCGTGGGCGCCACTGGGAATTCAATTGAACCATGTCAGCTAAGGGCAGGAATCAATACCCGGATATCGACCAAGAACGTGTGGGGATTCAACGATACCTACCATATATTTAAATAACAATTGAATCAGTTAGAATCAGCATATGTATGAAACTAATCGCAGAGAAAGTGAACGGCAGCGGGTCTCGAGCCCGTCTTTTAACGATCATAGGTAGAGGATACTCCCCACGAATCCTCACCGAACCTTTCTACAACCTCGAAATCATTGTCATGGCAGACTTTTAGGTCCTAAAAGGGCTAATAGAAAGGTCTAGATGTGAAAAGCCTCCTTAGCATGAAGAAAGATACAACGCAGGTAAACTTTATAACATTGAAAGGCATTTCTGCAAACACCGTAAATAACTCGACGATGCTATTAGAAAATGGATCTTACAAAAATGAAACAAGTTTTCATAGTAATAATGCCACAATAACATTTTCAATAAACAGATCCTAGAGGATCGTCTGTGAATACTAACTAGATAGTACAAAAACGTAGTTACTGAACAGTTATGAGTCACAGAACAAACAAAAAAAGGTGAGATTAATAAAAACAAATGTCAGCAAACGGTAAAATATTTCCAACAGAGTTCGAAGTCATGCGCTTCGGCTTCAGTGTGACCCCCACGCCTGTACTGATTTACAACTGCTTTGTGTTACTATCACTCCTTTACAAAAAGGGATATCCTTTTTTGCATTTTACATAACTTGCCAACTCTATTGAAAACTAATTACATGACATCACCACAACTAAGAAATCACTTAAAAGCGCCAGAGCACTCTTTAACGCAAAATTTCACCTTGACTGCATAACCCGATGAAGATATTTGAACAACCTGCGCTTATCAATGTGATAACTCAACAGATGTAAGGCATAAATTGGAATGATGGTAGGGTGTTTTAACATCATCACACGCCACTGATACACTTTAATGAAGAACTCTAAAGTGAAAGGCGTTCTGCCAAATGTATCGGGATGAGGGAGATCGTTAGTTTGTCGAAAATTTTGTCGACTAAACAAGGTAGAAAAGGTTAACATACATTATATGGAAAATAGAGACAGACAAAAGTATGACATCATTTGGTATTGCTCCATCAACTAATTAGGTTGATTCGCCCACAGATTTCCGCTTTAAAGCACTATTGAGAAGAAGACATAGGGTATCATCATCCGGCTTTTCATCTTTTATTTCTGCCGATACACGAGACAACTCATCGTTTTCTGAAGACGATTGCACTTTGTACAAAATTTGTCACTGAAAAAAATGTATGAGAGTAAAATCGACCTACCATCTAGTTGCCCCTTGATTCCATCCGTCACAGCCTTCTCAAGCTGCAGCTTTTTTCGTGCCAAACAGTGGATGTCAGCCTGATAGATAGAGGGGACGATTTAGGTCCATAGAAATCAAAAATATTGTTCTGATTATCACCTCGACAGTGTCCTTACTGACTAGCCTCGTAACATACACCTCCTTCTCTTGTCCCATACGGTGACACCGATCCTCAGCCTGAAAAAAAGCTCAAATGCAAGCTGTTCATCTTGTATCAGCCTTCTAATCCTTCCACTCCTCGTATCAATAATCAGCCGAAAGCCAAGGAAAACAAGACCCTATGTTTTCTGCAGGATGGTCGAAAGTTTGGCTCAGATCATTTGTGATCGATCTGCATAATTAAACGATATCGAAAAAAAACCATAGCTGCCTAATCGATTTGGTTTTTTTTTTTGGTGACATTAACCACCGGACAGTTTTTTTGAAAGTAATGGTAGCCTAAATAATGCGCATCGCCGTAAGTTGAACGTCAACTAGCTACCTGCTTGTCATTATACGGATTGAAATCAATATCGTGAAGTATTATATGATTGGCTGACGTCAGATTGATGCCTAGGCCTCCTGCACGCGTCGATAGAAGAAATACACATAGCTCTGGATCATTGTTGAACTCGTTGATCATTTCTTGTCTACATGGAAAGAACAGGAGGGTTATTATCAGATAAATGTAGGCAGTGGCTTACTACTTACCTATCCATGACAGGGGTAGAACCGTCCAATCTCCTATATAAATATTGCCGAATTCGCAGGTATACTTCAAGGATGTCAAGCATAGAAGTAAACTGCGAGAATATTAACACTTTGTCACCCTGGAATTGAGAAAATTACTTTAAGCCATATTTGAACGGCCAAATAATCAGCCAGTTCTCGAACATGTTAGTGTACCTTTTCTTTGATTTTAGGTAATAGCTTATCAAGCTCGTGGCACTTTCCTGATTCGAGTGCCAAATCTTCGCTGAGTAGAAACTTCTTCGTGCTACGGAACTTTTCACATATTTGATGTATTTGAAAATCGGATTGATAAGACAGATCATCCGCTACGTCCTCCCACCTCTTTTTCTCGTATGGTTTCTCCTGAATAACAGGTGTAAGTCATCATTTAATATGTAGGGGTTACATTCAATAATTTCGATAAGTGATAACATGATTCTTCGACACATGTGAACTGATGGGGGTTCTTGTGACTAACTGTCGAATCTCGAAAAAAAAAAATGGGGGCACAGGGATGCATTGCCGAGTAATCAGCTCAATGATGATTTTGCATGAAAATGAATGAAAATTAAGTTTTTGGCGTTTATTAGTCAAAGCGAAGAATTAGCTCAGGCATTCTACCTCCGTTTAGAATTGTAGCGGCAGTTGCACGCACGTTCCTCTGCTGGAATTAATTGTGTGACCAGCCAGGGAACAAGTACTACTTTTATCTTCCCAGTAGTTTGGTAATAATACAGGGGCAGTTGGGCAATAACAATAATATCGACCTAACTCAAAAGAGGGATTATTAGGATGGTTAGTCTGGAGTATGTCGAGGAGGTATCTGTTCTTCTGACCACACGTGTGGTAGCACCGCAATCAGGCGCATGTACTTCCACGATTAGCAGGGGCATTTGTTATAAATGATTGATATAGAAGGAAGGTAAAGAGGTGTTTCCAAGGTGCAAGTTGCCGAAGAAACTGTGCAAAATACATATGGTCACAAACGGGGTCCATATCTTCTCTCATAGCCGATCAGTGTCAACTAATCTTATTTGAAGTGCCAAACAACCGCTCTGCACCCGAATTGTAAATTTCGAATGGAATCAATTCCATTCAAATTTTCGAGTTCCCTGAATGAGAATTAAGTTTGGAGAAGAAATGATGTAGGTCCTTCATCCAAACCATTTTCCCTCAAAACTTCAACGCTACCTGTGTCAAATTCTTCAACTTTTTCTTTCGCTTCTCTGCAAAACAATAAGAAAGCAATAGGGTCCAACCATATAAAAACACCTTATCAGGGGTCTGTAAGCTCGAATTTGATTTGGAGTGGTAAGCAGCAAAACTGCCGGTCACTACCATGCAACCGTGAACAATATTATGTTGATCTTAAAACAATCTCGAGACTCTTTCAAGAACCCAGGAATTCTTCCGAGTGACTGAGAAGGGCATACTGGCAACGTCTTTCCCCGGCCAGTTTATCGGTATATGAAGAAAAAGTGCGACGGCAAAAAAGATTACCTTGGCACATAAGGTTTTTGCCAATTTGTCCAGCAATGAATCTGTATATTGGACCCTCCGCAGCAAAGGATGATTAGCTGCTTGCCTCAAACGCATCAGAGCTCCATAAGCATTATTTGTATCTCCGTCCACACCTCGCACACTAAAATTTGCATTTGCTAACTGAAATTTAACTTTGCCAAGCATTAATCAGCTCGCGCCGACCGGAAACGAACAACAACACGAAGAAGACAAATCAATGACATCACGAAAAGGGATTAGATCACTTAAAAAAGTACACTTACCTATCCAGAACATCCTCGTATAGTTCTTTTTGGCTTTCTAACATCTCCACTTCTATGACCTCTTCATGCTTCTCTGGTAAATGTCCCAGAACCTCAAAACAACCAATAAAGCTGTTTCACATTGCAAGACACTAGTGCCAAAAACCTGAGCTTTTAGCCTCCTAAGCATGTACGGTTGCAGAATCATTTTCGCCTGTTCTATCCTATCCTTTTGATAAAGGGAGCCCGACTCTAACGCAGGTCCTTGCTGGAACAACCTTTTTGAACGTTGAGTTCCTAACTATTTTCGACTGTCTGAATACAATAGTGAATTTTGAAAAAGTATGAGATAGGGATCACCTGCTTAAAATGTTGCAGGAGCTGAGCAATATCCTCGCAATACTTAGTAAAAATATGTGTCATTACAAAATAAATCAGGGATATTAACTCGATGAGGTTATTCTGTAGAGGAGTTCCTGTCATGAGCACTTTTCGCTTACCCTGGAAGAAGACATTCTAGAAACAAAGGAAGCTTTTCTGGAAACCGTCCAACTCCACGTACCTTCACTCTCATGAGATTTCGATAGCGATCGGTACTACAATTCTTCAGCATATGACCCTCATCATATATAACATAATGAATACTGAAGTTCTTGAAAAACTTCTTGTCATCGTGTTTCGATGAGATCATGTTGTAGGTGGTAAGAATAACATCAATCTGGATAAAGCAACGTTCCATTTTCTTGTCCGCGAATTTTACACATTAATGCACAGAAAACCTACATTCTCCTTCCTTTTTTTCGCCATATGCCTGAGCTGCCGCCGCTCTTCTTGGCTTCCATAGTATGTTAACAACTAAAAAAAAAGAGGACGTCACTAAATCAAATTTACACCTTCAAAACAATAGACGAGAACAAGAGAAAAAGTAACTATAATTATATTTAGAGGGCTCTGAAAGTCAGAACATGGCAATCAGGTCACTATTGAGAGTTAGTTCCTTAATAGTAAGAGTATCCTTGAGCTATTCGAAAGACAATTATATCTGATAAGCTTCTGCCTTCCTATCCTTTTTGCAGTAGTCATTTCAATTCTAGGTTGTGACCGCAATACCTTTCTCTCTTTCACTTTTGCATAATACGACAACCTGAGCTGGGCTTCGAAAATACCGATTTACTCATAGAATACCCTCAAAACCACAATTCACTGTTGAAGAGATCGGGAGAAACGCAAGTAATTCTGAAGTAACGTACGCGAACTTTCGGGCACCATTTAACAAATTCAGCCATCCAGTTTTCGATTGTTGATGACGGTACGACTATGAGATGTGGACCGCGAACGTTTGTCTCCTTTAGATAAGCTATGAAAGCTATGACTTGAATAGTCTTACCAAGACCCTAAATTAGACAGTATAGGTTGAACATGGTAAATTATACAGTAAAAGTTGAATATAAGACATACTACTTGTCACCCCACTAGAGTTTCTTGGAACAAAACAAAATCTCTAACTGACTTACGAGGATCGGCTTGCGCGACCTCTGCTTAGTACGGAAAAGAAACCAAACAACGAACACATATCCTTACCATTTCGTCGCCGAGTATACAGTTGAATCCTTTTTCGTGCATCATCACAAGCCAGTTCAAACCTACTTGTTGATATTCGTGTAGGGAACACCTAAAATCAAAACACATAATCACAAACACAACTCATCAAACATGCTCATTTCTGAGGATCTAATGCTGAAACACTGACTTGTCATCCAATAGCGCCGGTTTGAGTCTACGCTGGGTGCAGCGTTCAAACTCAGCAGCTACTGATAGAGCATGATCCTTGCAATCATCTAGAATTTTCTCCAGAACACCACGATTCTCCAGAAATTCCATGTATGCATTTAAAGCACCCATTCCCCGTGGTACTTCCGAGATTGCCTTTTCCTGAAAAATTAAGGCTGCTAAAACATCATTGAGAACAATGAGCACGGCGGCGTGACTCACCAATTGAGCGAAAGAACTGAACGGCCGACGTTCAACTATTTGTGACACTATTCTTTCAGTCATTCGCGGAGTGGAACGAAGTTGCGCGAGAGTAGATGTGTTGAAAAATTCGAGGCATGCAAGCATAACATCGTCTTCCCCTCTGTCCTGGGAATGATGCTCATCATCCTGAACAAAAGAAGAAATATCAGCTAGTATAACTATCTTGTCCAATTCTACAACTGTGCTGTATAAACAATCATGAGAATGCCCTATCAATCAAGGAAAGGAATTGGTTTCTATTAAACTTAACCCCAGGAGGTAACGCAAGAAAATGAAAGAAGTAGAAAACAGGTGAGGGGAGGGGGGTACAGAAGAAGGAAGGAATGACTGGTGAGGAAGAGGGGGTGACTACAACGACGAAATAGGAAAGCGAAAAATGGAAACGAAGAAAATCTCCAGACAATTACTTGAGAGCATAACTAGAGAAAAGACTCATCAGACGAATGAAGGTAATAAGGCTTNAATTTATATAAGGGAAGGGCATGTGTAAATGACAGTACAAGAATTAGAGCAAGAGGGAAGAAGAGGTCACTGACGTCACTATCTGATGAATGCTCATCCGATGAAGGTCTGCCGCGGTATGAACCTTTCTCGCTTCCTGCATCATCTAAATAGTCTTCATCAGAAGACGCTTTACGCTTCCGACCATGTTTAGCAGCAGCTTTGGCGACTTTCTTCAACGTTGTGGCAGACTAAAAGCATCAAGACAATTTTAGTGCACAGACAATTGTTATGCTATTCGATTTGAAAAACACAGAAGTCTTTGCCACCTCCAGATTTTCCTCTTGGTCATCATCACTTTCGTCTGTAAAAACATCCTTGATACGAGACCGTTTTTTCACCGGTGAATCCGATACACGAGTTTTCATACTCTGAATAATGAAGGAATAAATCGCCATGAGTGGCGAGAGGGGAGAGAGAGCAAATCGAAGCAATGTTTTGCAAACCTTGGGCTTTTCATCCAATCGCGGCTTACATAACCATTCCTCTTCACTCGAATCAGACAATGTTCGAACCTTGCTAAATATAGTGGGGATTACGCCATTAACGACAAAAAGTGAACCGAGTAATCAGTTTCCATATAAAGAATGATTCTAACCCAGAAGCTCCTGACTGCCCTAGTCCCAGAGCGTTCGTGGCAGGCTCACTTGTTTCATCTGATGACTTCTTTTGACTGCCTCTGTAATTACTTGCCAATGAAAAGTACACAACCATGCAATCCATTCAATGAAATAATCAGTAGGTACCCCGCAAAATACAGGTTGATAAAGAGAGAATTATTCTAAATCAGACGATAAAAATTTCACGAATGTGTAACTGGCAGCCCATTCTCTAATTACTTTTTCAATGATTCTTGTTGCCTCAAGTACGGGAAATTGCTAACTCCTGACTGCCCTAGTCTTGAAAATGAATCTTCGAAGGGTGTAACCGTTGTTGTACGGGTAGGGTGCACGTCGAAGAACCCAAATACGGAAGAAGGAATCATCGAGGAGACAGCAAATAAGCAAGGAACTTATTAAAAAAGTACTTCAGCCATGAATCCAAGCCTGTCCTCTTCTTACGCGGGCGTTTATCTTCTTCATCACTAAGCATAAAATCCTCATCCGCGTCATCGAGGTCGTCGTCGACGATGAAGTCCTCATCATCGTCACTATGGATAGTTTTCTTCTTCTTTGCTTCGGGTCCTGATTATCAAGACAGTGATGAAGTGCACAATGAAAGCGAACTGAGAAAGAACGCTGAAATAACTTACCTTTCGCTACATTACCATTGATGAGTTGTTTAATGCCATTTGCAGTTTTGCTAATAGGTTTCTTTGCGCCTATCGAGGCAGCTATCTGGTAACGAAACAGAATCATTTGTGTTTAAATGAAACAAAAAAGCCCATAGAATCGTTCCAAACCTTAGATAGTGCTAGCCGCTTATGTTCCAACGACTGTAGCACCTCATCCGAGGCAACGCTTGATCTGTGAGCTACTCTTGATTTGAAGCCATCATTGAATTTACTTGACGACATATCACAACTAAATCTTGCGCATATGAGCGACTTTATAAGTCATATAGATTGCTCAATATATCGTGATTATACACAAAAGCACAGGAACAGGTCATTCAGAATAATTTATACACCCATATGTCAAGTATTACTAGACTTCGTATTGTCCAAGTAGATAACGAACAGAATTTAAACACTCATCATCTGAGCAATAAAAAGCATTCAATTATTGCTTGACTTCATCAATGACACTCAAATTCAGACTAGCGAGATCGTCAAACAAGCCGGTTTCCTGAACCACTCGGCTTGTTTCCCATTTCTTTTTGATTTGGTCCCACTGTATTATGAACAGCTCCTTTCGTTGAGCCATCTTCGATATCACCTGAAATGCTTTTCTCACCAATGCGTCCTACATAGAGACACTATGCAAATATCTCACAGCTAAACATTGCATTGCTATAGACTTCCTTTGTTGATCGACCATTTCCTCAGCCATTACCAGCAAGGCCTCTACAATTTTGGTAACCTCTACTGGTGTCTGAAGCTGCCAGCTGAAAAAAAAAACAGTTGGCTTGGGCTGACGCTACGAATATATTTTTCCACAAGATATCTGACGCCAAAAACGTACCTTCCACATAAATCCAACAGCGATACTGCCAAAGTTTGTTTTGCTTTCCAAAACAGTCCAGTTGACGTTAAATAGGAACATAAAGCGTCTATCGCAGGAGCCGCATCTTTTCCTAATTAGTAATTAGAGCATTACTAACGAAGGGTAGCAATACCTCCAGGCATGATATAAGTAATGATCTGCAAACCTTCGGTGAATGCACCAATAGCCTTAGCCAACGAACTTATGTTTTGACCGAGGAACTCTGCCAGTTTGGCCTCTTTCGTAGAGGCGCCATTCTGCTCATCTTCAGACTGATCTTCTTCTCCACTAAAACGGACCTTTTATAAGTTTATTGAAAACTACTCGAAGCAGTGAGCGTGATATATTCCGTAAAGAATCGAGTTAGGCTCGATTATTAGAGAGCTGTTATTATACAGTGTATGCCAACGTCAGCAGCGCGGACGCTCACCAACGCTTTTTCTGGGTTTATTTCATGGGATTTTTTTTTGCAATTGCCGAGGTAGACCACATTACTTCGCTCTTAATAATATCAAACGTTCGGTAGATTTAAAATAATGGGAGCGTCACTACATAGTGAATCAGTCATCACTTTGCAACTTCAAGCGCTTTTGGCACGGGACATTTCCAAACGACACAACGCAACTAAGCAGTTGGTGTATTCAATTGCAAGACGCTTTGAAGTGTCAGGAACAGGGTCGTCATTCGCTGCCGAACAGTGACGTTTCTCGTTCCCAAGCAAAACTTTCATCGAGCTCTGTTTTGCTTACTCTGCCAATGCTTATTAGGCGGACTAAACTTTGTTCAGCATTCAGTGGTAGCGCAATGCTGATTTTCGGACTATATTTTAGGAAGTTAAACAGGGGAGCTGTTCAACCCACATCGCGTAAATGTACTCGAAGAATGCACATGACATCAAGAACGGGAAATAAAAAATGTTAAAAGAATAACACTTTACCTTGGATCGAGAGCCTTCCGCACGTTGTCACTGATTTTCTCCAACAACCACTGCGTACCTTTTGGGTATGGAAGACTGCGGGAAAATAGAGCACATGCTTGTAGACCAGCAGAAGCATACTCCTTTTTCCTCTTTGACGCCTCTCTGCTCAAGATAGCAAACACCTGAATGATGCAGTAATAAGTTCTCTCTGAAACGAAGTTTAACCCTTTGACGACAATGCGGATTTCGACGTGACGCGCCCACGGATCCCCTCCTTGAGCGCGCGATGGCACCCACCCGTGGGTGGCACCATCACAGGAGAAAATTCTTTCACTGGCTTACTGAATTCAGCAATTGGTAAGGAACAAGAAAGAATGCTAGCAACCAAAATTGAGTGCTATTGTTCCATGCGCAATTCATGGTGGTACCCACAGGTGAGTGTCATTGTCGTCAAAGGGTTCAAGGATATTTCCTTACCTCTTCGACCTCTTTATCAGTCCACGTCTTGCGGAGTGAAGGTCCAGCACATGAAAAGATCGTTCCGACGGCTAGAAGCAGATCCTCTTTTCCTTGCCAAATACGTCCAGAAAGCATAGGAAGAAGTGAGGAAAGCAAGGATGCTAAAATTTTTTACTAACAATCAAGTGCAGATTGAAAATGGTACAAGGTAGCAATCAAAGTAAGCACCTGCATCTTTGCCTTCTAATCGATCTTGGAGATGTTTTGTTGTTTCCGTAAGCATCCGAGCGGCTTGGGCTCGAACAGACCAAACATCATTATTTTGCAGAATATCCAAGATGAACGAGAGTATCTCTTCACGGTACATACGAACGGCTGCTTCGGTACCTGAAATGAATGGCTACCGAGAAAGAATAAGGTAGACGAGAATGAACATTGCACAAACGAAGCATGAATCTAGTCACTTATTAGATATGCGTACCGAATGATGAACATAAGTGCGTTTAATCGGAACCCAACAAAAGCTTCAAAAATGTTTGGGGCTAATGGTAATAAGATAAGGAGATGATTTTCTGATTCCGATCAAATCTCATCAATACCGATCGAAATTACTGGGTTTCGTACATAACACCGGAAAGGATTGCAGGACACAATTTAGGGTTGGTATAGTGTAGAGGTTGAAATTCCACTCAGTCGTGAGCTATCGACTGATCAAGACAGGTTTTCAGTCACACGAACGCCATACTGAACAACCAAAAATGGACACAGCGAAAGCGAAAACAAAAAAAAACCAAAACCCACTAGGCACAATTTCATTCCATAGGTCACACCACTCCTCCTGACGTTTCTTGGAAGCTTCATCGCCCCGGACAACTGAAGAAGAGAAGACTTCAAACCGAAAACTGAATGTCTTTCGGTTGCTCGCTTGAAACGCTTGAAAAAGTCGACAAGAATAAACCTTACCGAGTTGACAAGTCTCCATAAACACGTAGGGGACCACCAGTTTGGAGTAACCTTGAAGAAGCTCAGAGCAGTTTGCGGATAAGCTTTTCAAGACATGCTTTGCAGACTGTTTCATGGATTCTGAAACGAAAACGAGCTAAAGAGTCTTAGTGAATATAATTTAAAGAGATTGAAATAAGAGAAGACGAAAACGGATCCCTCAAATGAGCAAGTCATATAGCTCACCATCATCTGAAAGAAGATCCTTCAAAACAGTCCGCATAAGTGCTTCAAATGATGAGGTTGAGGCGTACTTTGCCATGTAAGAGGCTGCGCTTGCAAAGTGCTTCCGTACGGAAGGATTGCGATCACGTGTTCCGGATATAAGAGCATTAAACAATTTGTCTATAAGGAAATTTTTTGAGCAACTGAAACATTAAGGGAAAATAATAGTCTACCGCATTGGGCTTGGTGATCTCCCAGAAGTTGTGGAGCTCTGAGCGCAAGCATTGTGAGTAGTTGGGCACATGCTGTCCTTGTGCTAGCTCCGGCGCTTGAGCGCAATTGTTCACATAGTCGAGGTTGTATTGCGACGAGCACAGAGCCATCAATCTGAGAAAAACAGATTTTACTAAAAAATTAGAAAATTCGCAAAGGCGACGGAAGAATATATCACCTGCGGAATAAGGTCTTGAATAGCAGTCATCATAGGTGAAGTACGCGCCATCTTTGCCCTCGCGTCATCCAACTGAAAAGGAACTCCTTAATAAATATTTATTCACTGAAGCCTTCTTGAGATAAAAACAAAGCATCAACCAGTACAGAACACAGTGCCACCTACAAGTTTTGAACTCACCATTTCCAATTCGTCCAAGCTCGAGCGAGCAGCCATGTAATTGAGAATGGCAGGCTCTGCATCACTTATGGTATCAATGAGAGATGGGATGAGTTCGGCAAGATGAGGGCGAAGTTGAGACCCAGCGGTTTTGCTCAGCTCCAGCAGAATAGAAATGCTGCAATGATTTTCATCAACTACTTATTTTGTAAATTACGATAGAAGTAATAAAGTAGTACCTGAACTGCTTATTAACTTTGATCTCCGAGTGGATTCCATTCCGAATCAACACAGGAAGTAGTGAATTAAGAAATACCCGTGGATCATGGCCTTTTGGTGATTCCGAGGAAAGACGGACAGCTAGTTTTCCGAGGGTGGCAATGGCACGATTTGCGGCAAGACGGACGGATTCCTAAAATAACCTGTGTGGTTGCTTCTTGATTACGATCATAACTGACACACCTTTATGTCATCACGAAGTCTGAAAACCGTCAGCATAAGGTCAGGGATGATCGAACGGATATATCGGGAATCGTTGCCTTGGACCAGGTCCGATAAAGCTAGGCACCTAAAAAATTGAATACGTCGCTGGGCTACTAATAACGAGGTAAAGTTAGTAGGGAACAAAGTGCGTGAGTTGATCACGACTCACGCGGACTCTCGCACGCGCCATTCAGGGCTTGTCAACTGCTGTTGAAGTTCCTTAGCTATGTCGTCCGCATACTCTTCAACCTAAACGAAGACTGGTCAACCAGATAAGTTAGCGGAACGAGTGCTTCTGATACAGGGCTTGGTATGAGGGTTTGTAATGAATTTTTAGAAAAGAGTGTTTACAAGTTGAGCGGGAGCAATAGTCAGGTTGCAGAACAACGAAGTCACAATACCGAACATCAAAGAGTTTCGAAGAGAAAGAAGGATCCAAGAGAAGAAACAAAAGAAACGTACAAGACCACGACGCGATGCTGTTAGTACAGACCAAATTGAGCGCATCGATTGTCTGACCTTCAAATCCGGGTCATACCGATACCTGAGCAGCACCAAACTATCGAACAGTCAACTGATGTCAGATGATGTATAATAATTCACCTGAACAATTTCGGTACCAGCTGACCGATGAAGGGTTCAAATTCATTGCTAGCCTCTTCCAAAACAGCCACAAAACCCAAAGCTGCCCCCTTAAATAAGGCATTTATCGCATCAGTAGCAAAGAATGGTTGGGTATGGTAACTACACAATTCATAGAAAGTTCACCTTTTTAAGATTCCACACTGAGTTATGCCTTGCCAAGTTCATGAACTTATAAACCAGATCAGGTTGGTTGAGATCTGTGGCGAGCGAACATAGCTCCTTGTATGTGCTCAGATGTTGTCTGAATACTATAATCCTATTCACTTTCGAGCTTTTTCCGAATCTCAGGTACGAACCCATCCGGCCCCGTAATATGCTGATCCTTGCTGAAGATTTCTGTATTAGGATCCACTTTTGTATTCGAGAAAGGCTTCCCTTCGGAAATTCTCGAAATCAGATCATTAACCAAGGCCTTCTTCTGTTCTTCAGATGCCATCTCGTACACCAGACCGATTCCACTTGAAGCCACATCCTGCGTAAAGTCTGAACAGACAAAAATAAGGACAATCGTTTCCTCGTTCTACACTGGAACTGGTAAGTTCCTTCTGATGGCAGGTTATTACTACGTACATAATCTCACTTCAAGGTTTTCAAAGTTGCTAGATAGAATTACCTCATGCAGAAGCACTGAGCACGGCTGAAACGGGAATAAGAACTACAAAAAATGATCAGAGAATGGGAAAAGGTAGATAAAGCATGAAAATCACAACAATTTAACAAAATGGTGTGTGAGAAAATGAATAAGTCAAAACGAGGGAATCCGAACCGAGATAATTATTTATAAGATGAAAGAAACCGCCACTGCCAACCATGCTCAACGCATCCAAATCGTCCGAGTAAAACAGAACCCGAATGCGGTGTGCATCCTAAGGGTTGGGTTGATGATGCCAAAAATTTATACTTTTTATCCCTCATTCAATTTTGAGGCTATCCATTTTGCATCCTTTTCAGACGAACACTCTACCCATCCGCGAACATCTCTCTCGCGGGATTTTCGGCGAAAGGGTGAATGAACAGGGATGGCATATTCAGCGTGTGCCACAACTGCGATTAGAGCTCCATCTATGTTACAAAATCGCACGCATCAAATACTGGGATGGAAGCAATAAATGATTAAACAAAATAAATTGGAGAGGGAATAAAGTATGCAGGTCTTACTGACCATCATTTTCGGCGAGACCTATACCGAAGCCAGTTTGAATCTTGTCCAACATCCCTTTCAGGAGGTTAGCACGAGCTTTGTAACTTCTTCGAACGACGACGAGCAACCAAATCAAAGCCGAACGCCGTTCGTGGTGGCTCAACGATGAAAGCTTCTCGTCGAAGATTTTGGAAAATATCTGTGCTAGACGCCTTTCACAGTTTTCTGACGTTTCAGGACCAAGCGAATTGAGCTGAAAATCAAATGTTCAACAAGGACTTTACAGTTCAGCCTCTCATGTGCAATGATTACCTGAAAATCTTCTTCCAGCGTGGTATACATGTTTCGTCGAGACGTTGAGAACGGCCCAAGCGCTACATCGAACAACGCAGACCCCACTATAAGCTGTACTTCTGGTTGAGGAGGACCATTTCCAACAGAGTAAAGCACTGCTGACAGCTTAATTGAAAAATAGCAAGAGAATATAATACTGTGATAGTAACTCCAAGGTTACAGTCGAAGATGTACACCAATACCTTTTCATAAATAGTCGCGCTCATCGTTGTGGCACAAAAGCCTATAGCATGTATTGCCTCCTCATGCGCTTTAGTAGAAACAGCATCTTTTCGTGAAACAGCTATTTTTTCACAAACGGACAGCATACGCTCCAAAACATCTGAGGGTAATTCAAAACCCTGAAATATTCTAAAAATCGCAACGGACAATGCAAGCACTGAAAACTGCAGAGGAACAAACCTTATCGTGAAAAAGTATAGTACGCAATATATTCGCTAAAGAACCCAGAGCCGACTCAAGCACATTGTTTGGTTTGTTATACCCTTCCTCAGAGATATCAATGAGATGATTAATCACCGATAGAACAGTGGCACGAGGAATTGCATGGGAAGCAATAAACGCGCTCGCAAGCCAGCAATCTCCTGCCGTAACATTCTGAAAGAGCAGTCATTATTTCAACGAATGTAGGGTCTATCAAGAAATATACTACGGAACGCATCTTCAATGGCTAGTCAGTAAAATTTCAAAACAAGTCAAGCTCGGGAGAAAAAAAGAGAAAAGGTCGTTAAAATTACCGTTTTCTCTAAAGCAGTTAAAGCTGCAGGGAACATCGTTTCCCGTTCTTTGTCGCCTAGTAAGGAAGCCGCCAAGTGAGCGGCAACATTAGCCATGTCGGAGCGAGTCGTTCCTCGCGTTCGTTGAACACAAGACATCAGAAGCGAAACTGGAGGATTGTTGGGAGGATACACGGCAGAGAAACACGTCGCAATTCGGAACAATGGCACTTCTGAAATAGAGAAATTATTAGCACCACTACTTCTAGGTAACCAGATAACACCTCAGAGAACTGAAGAAAAATGCAAACTAAGATCATACCTTGAGCTTCTTTGAGAGCTTGCAGAGAAATTTTTGTCAAACATTCTTGATTGAAACAAGTCAGCTTTTTCATTTGTTGGGCAATTTTCGGCGCAATTTCTGTCCATTCATGAACACTGTCGGCAGTTTTTAAATCGGTGGGCACACCAGCTGCCCGTGCCATCAATGCCCACAAATAACGAGAGCTCTAGAAAGCTCATTTTTCGAATCACTGGGAATAATAACTCCAAAAGTAAAACTAGAGTAGAACTCCGAACCATTTGATGGATGAGTGGTGAAATACTTTGTGATGACGGAGACTTCTCTTTTCCAGTTTCAGAATCAACAATGTCATCCTTCAGGTGATTCCACAGATAGAAAACGGCCATTTCAACAGGGACATCCACTTTCAAAGATACTTCGAGAAGGCGAGTTGCCTCTCCACGAATCTCGTCTCGACTAGAAAAAGTATGATAAGGCGATGATTAGGAAAAGGACATAAAAAACCAACCTATCTCCGCAGGCTTGCAGGAGCATCCATCTCAAATCCATTTCATCGGATGATAGGAACGCTTCCATGTATTTTAACGCAATCAATCGACATTTCGAATTCTCCTAAAATCAAAGAGTACTCGATGGGAATAGATGGTTGTCAGTAGAGAAGCAACTGAAGCTCTAAGAGCTAAGCAGCTGCAATTTTCACTACGACATGAACTCCGTTAAAAACTTGCAGTGATCTGCCTACAAGGGGAATAAAATACAAAAACCTGACATATTCAACAAAGGGCAGTCTGTAAAGTTGATGATAAGCAGCGCGGAATACTCAAGAAAAAGGAATTCGAAGAATTTTTCGATGACTTTAGAGATGAGCTTTCATATGAACAAAAGGATATTTCGCTACTTGGTGAACCAGCAAGGAAACGGGTACATTAAGGAATAGCTTCATCGGCAGAAAAGCTTTTAGTTTACAAGATTACTTGGTATAGATGAGGGTGCTTCGCAAAATACAAAACTTATGCACCTTTTCTGAACCGAGCCTTCATGAGCAGGTCTAGTATGCGGTGCTTATTCGCTAGTAAAACCATAAATGTCACACCAAAAATATTCTCACGAAAGAAAGTTGTACTAACAAAAAGTAGTACGGTGATGAAATATGTGTGGGAGATATGTCTCTAATTGACTTAATATATGGGTCATACCTACATGTGTGAGGAACTCCTGAACCAACGATTTGAGTTTTTCATTGAGCGACTGATCGGTCAATTTGCGGAAACCATCCAACCACTGGGTGAGGCAATCGATCACTGCGTACGCGACATCGTCTGGTGCCTTCAATCCAAAAAAGTTGCTTTTCAGCAGAACTAATCCTTCCTTAAGATTTCAAGCTGAATTCAGCATGAAATAAAAATAAAAACCAACCTGAGCAATTTCCTTGAAAGTCAGCGCAACTGTCTCAACCTGACGTGTTACGATAGTCGGATCTCGCTTCCCAAGAATTCCCATACATCGATAAATCAGCGATAGAGCATTGGAATTCTATAAATTTAAGTATTCCCTAATGGAATCGTGTTTGCAGCAGGTTTCTAAACCCAATCAATTGATCGCATCAAAGACACACGGCTCTAGTAAGATACTGTTACTGATGTTGCTTGGTGGTATGTAATTGGACAAAAACAGTGGGAAACAGATAGCTAGCTAACAAGCTGCTAAGAAAGTTTAAAATTAGATGGGCCATTAAGCCGCGGAAAATGAAACAAATCATGTATGTAAGACATTCACGACCAAAATGAGTGTTTCGGAAACAATGTGACTGGATGGCGAATTTCATGACAAAGTAATCAAGGTGAACTAAAAAAAACTACATTCAAGAGCAACTTACCTTGACTTCCTCTCGAACTTTCTGTACACGATCAAACAACAGAGGTGAAAAGTTTTTCTGTGCAGCTGCAGGCATTTTTTCGATTACCTTGAGCAAGAAACCAAGAGCAGCTGTGAGCAGCTTGATATACGACATCTGGGTGAGCCCGTCAAGACAAATCTAAAAAGTACAGCTAGACGGCAAAAACAACTGCAAAACACGACATTTACGACTTCAAACGCTGTGCATCAGCAAAGTCTATTCCACCGAGACCATCACAACTTTGTCTACCATTCGTTCAATTTTGTTTCAAGCTCCTTTGGATACAACTTTCGGAAACAAATAAAAGTTTTACGCACCTTCATATTGTTCATATATGACACAGGTGCAATTGAAGAACGCATTAGATGCTGCAAGATTTTCTGCTTCATCAAGAAGTTGGCTGGAGATACTGCAGTACTTTTGCCCATCACCGGCTTGGTAACTGTCGTTGTTCCCAAATAGATGGCCATCAATTCATCCACAACAGCTCGATTGTCAACACATTCTTGACTGCAACACGATATTGGTCACGCTGAGGTGGGAAGTTACAAGCGATAAAATTACGAAATCACTATATAAAAAACGGAGATCTCACATGTCAATCTTTTTCAAGGCCGCCTCAGCAGCTTCAGTTACCCTGAAAACCTTCGCTCTGTACAAATAGCTTGTCAGTTACCACACACGAATCCCGGAAAAGAAAACTCACGCGTCGACGTTTTGAGCAGAAGCTAGAACCAGAATAGAAAAAATTGCTGTGTCACCGAACAGCTCAGAGACTAGGAGCTTTAAAGCACATAATTTTATCTAAAGCAAGATCTCTTTCACTCTAGGAAAACACTTCAAAGGAAATCAGAAAAGAAATAGTGTTATTCCCAGGGAGTTGGTCTTTTTAGGCCTTAAGCAAACATAATACCCACTATACTCACGTACCGGAACAAGCGCTACGTCTTTGGTGAAGATTTTCTCAGCAACCATGATGTATTCGTCGGCTGTTATGGCAGGCGTTAACACTTTCTCTTCACTTCTAAGAGCTGCGCACGTGGATTTGATCACATCGCTTAAATAATACGACTGCACAATAATTACTCATTGAACAAAACACTGTACTAACGGCGGATCGACAGGGAACGCTATGATGCAGTGAAGGAATCTAAGCAGCAACAGCTTCACATCTTCGGATAATGTAAACTTTGGCCAAGTATGCTTCTCTTTCTGAATGAGAACCATAAAGGCAGGCACACACAATGACAGCAGTCTGAACAGTGGAAACCATTTTGCCCTATTCCAAATAGAAATTAATTGAAATTTCACTAATACACTCACTCGGCACATTGACTTGCTTCATTCAGCTTACAAGAGATGACTTCGAAGAATGAAGGCAGCAGTCTCAGGCATTCTTCTTCCGTAAGGTTCCCAGAGGCGAAGCGCAGATATACCAACGAGAGATTCTAAAGAAACCAGCCACACTTCATTCTGACCGTGGAAAAACCATTTTACCCATGTCATAGAATACAAATAGACAGAGGAAGGATCTCACCGCAGCAACAACACTATTATCTCTAACTAGCGTCAAGAGAGCATCAACGGGATATTTGATGGATGCAACAGCTTTAGCACGGCGATTGTAATGAGTGAGGATCTCCCTAATCTAAATATCCAAATAAGAGATTTGTTCATATGCTAACTGGTTCCGTGAATTTGGTCTCACCTTTGTTAAAGCTTTGGGCTCCGAACTTGCAGTCTCTATTAAACGAACTAGGTAAGTGTCGGTGAATTTTTGCAGTTGTTCGTCTGACTCAATCATAGCGAATCGCAAATAAATCCTTTCTACTGAACAATGATATCCTCGCTTTCCATAGGCACCATGAAGTGAAAATTGCTATTCACTTACGATATTCATCAACTGCGATCGCTTCCTTTTGAGAAGAGGTGGGAGGAATGGTCTCCATAGTGAAGGATCAAACAGGACCTCAGCGGTGATCTAGTTGAAAGTTCAATTACCTGAAAAGAGCTCTTCATGTTCTCACCGACGCGAACTAAATTAGCACTAATTGGTAGTCATTATCGACGTCCATTTTGTCTAGCCATCACTCTGTTGAGCTGNTACAGGGAGGCGACACGATTTGCGAGATTTTTCTATGCTTCAGGAGAGAAACAACACGAACTATGCACACCAGAGACTTCATGAGGATAACAAAGGAGTATGCAAGACAGTCAGAGTAGAGATGAGTGTGAGGAATGCGTGACGGAGTCAGCGTACGCAAAAAAAAGCTGATGAGTTGGTTCGCGCTCCATGGCTAACATCGTCGTCTCCTTTAAAGAAGAAAGTAGCAAGAAACGAATTTTGGGAATGCCAATAACCAACTTAGAATGTACCATCGTTCAATGCCCTTAACCACATCTGGTCTTAAAAGGATGCTCGAACGCCTGCAAATAACTGAGTTCTAAAGCTACAGACTTAAGAGGCGTTGGATGTTTGGATTCCTTCTTGCCAACTTCGTGGACCGACTTACAACGGAGTCAAGCGAGGTACGTAAATCAGAGGAAGCGAGCATGAGAAAAAAAGGAAAATCGTTCATTCTCTAGGCAGAAAAAAAGAGTTGAAATATTTATATATCCAAAGTGATAGGGATGAATGGGTAAAGCACCAAATCGTTTGGCGGTGACCGATTCCATTTTGGAATACGCCCACGCATTCGACATTTACTCAGGACCACTCCGACGTTTGATTCGGTATTTCGCTTGTGCAGTGAATTTAGTGGTCACTGATTTGAATGAAATGCGGCCCACGAGAACAAGAAGGAGGCAAAATTCAACCTCCCACACGAATGACGAGAAATGCCTGTTTGCGGGAAAGGGAGACTTTGTTGTGTCGACTAACTTGCCGGAATATTTCGAAAGAAGTGGCAGCCAACAAAAACATGAAAGTACATGCGTTGTGAAACTGCTTGTCAGACTCGGATAAGATGCTCCCACGTAAGAACCGCAACGCAGCCGCACGCTATTTAGCAACGTCAGTTTTGCGGACTATATTTTAAGATTTTAAGGGTATTTTATGAGTGCTTGATGTGAATCGTTTTGTAACTGAAGGGCTGGGTTTCCAAGCTGAGTTGTACATCTTTTCAGAGCCACCTTGCAGCATTATCCTTTGTATACTACGTGTTTAGTTCTGTTCTGGAGTTCCAAATCACGGCTACTCTATTTAAAGTACTTAAATGTTGATTCAAAAATTTTTTTCTCGTTTTTGTTGTTAGAAATTTCTTCGTGAAAACTTCGGACAGCATGCCTGTTCGAACTTTGTTTGTTGAATGGTTTTTTTTTGGACCGCCACCCATCTCAGCTTTCAATCAAATTTGCGATAGTAGTTGTAAGGGTTGAGTAGTCATTTTAGCGCACAAGTGTTATTTAAGGGCCTGAAAGGCTCTACGTGCTTTATATGAGGCCTTAATACAAATCACCCAACATCGATGCAAGGCTCTGATTAACGAGAATTGGCTTGGGGTCTGAGTTGGGAAATACTTGCGGTAGCTGCGCCACGCATCACTATTCGATCTTCATCAGAACACTGCAGCTCGCATTAGTGGAATTCAGTTGTTCACAAAACCAAGCCGTTCTTAAAGTACGTATCTCTCTTACTAACTACCTATCCTTATTAGTACCTGTCTCTTGTACCTGAGAAAAAAAAGGCTATCATTCCAATCACTGAAATAGAGATCAATCCTGCTTTCTTCTTGAGCTTGGAATCCTTTCCATGTTTCCGGCGAACTGTTCAAAATCCGGTAAGGAATCTTTTTATAATCAACAAAGTCAGTAAAAAGTTCCCCTAGGCTCAGATCATCTGGTATTCCACATTTCTTGAAAACCTATGAATAAATTTCTTTGTCATTCACCATGATAGGTGCGAATCCTTGTACAACCGTAGCTGAATTTGTTTTTAAGGTGTGTAATCGTCACTTTTCAGAATGTCCGGGATAGTGACACGGCTTGTAGCCGGAGGTGCCTCTGTAACTCGAGGACTACTTGGAATTCGAAATCCCCAAATGTTGCAATCAACCGCGGGATTCAAGGTATACATTATGGAATTGCAGATGCCACTCTTTTCAACGACCTACTCATTTTATTGGAGCATCCATTTATCCTTTTTTGGTACAGTAATAAATTCATTCGGTAAATAACGATTAAACCAATTACATTTCAATACATTTGGCTAATGGATTTCACCAATAGATCCACTCTTATGCTTTTTCAGGTGAAATCTCGCTTAAAGCTACGATGCAAACACTGCTACTTTATTCGTGTGAATGGACGCCTTCATGTTGAATGCACTGAACATCCACGACATAAAGCCAGGGAAATATTCAATGTCAAACTACTTTGGTAGAAGTCGCCATTACAGAGAAGGTGTAGATACAAATAAGCCCTCTTTATAGACGAAAAACTCTACGGAGCGTGCTGTCTCATGTTTATTTAAGGGCATAAATTTAAGTCAACATGTCTATATGATTCAACTTGAGCAAACAAAACGATAGAACTGCAACTAGACGACAACAACTACAAGTTCCGTTCTATAATAAAAACTTTATGGATCCAACTGGAACATCTATCATAATGACTTAGAGGTAAATCCGTGCGGGGCATTTTATTTTGCCTCTCCATACTTGCTCGCGATCCCTTTTGAGTCGAAAAAGTCGCTAAAGAGATATTATTAATTGCACAATCTAATTGTACTAGATTGTAAAGTTAGATAGTATATCTTACGAAATCTCTCCATCTTTGTGCATTTGTACCATTATGTCACATCCTCCAACGAATTCACCCTTAACGTATACCTGAAACGTAATGTGCTAGTTAAGCACTCACTGTGCAGTTAGAAGACGTGATAAACTACCTGCCTGGGGAATAGTTGGCCATTCACTGTAAATCTTCACGCCTTCTCTCAATTCAGGGTCGTCCAGTACATTGTAGTCTTTGAACTTGACGTTGTGGAAATCAAGAACCTGAAGGAATAAATCATAACTAAAAGGAAGCTCCCTGAAGCTACCAACTAGATCTCATGCACGCATTCCCGAAATTATTCAGTGATTCTTACGAAATGGACGCACGCACTCACCAGTTTAACATTCCGTGAAAATCCACACATGGGCTCCTGTTGCGTGCCTTTCATGAACACCACTACGTCATCTGACTAAATAGAGTTTCTTATAGGTAGAAATAGTGATTCTAGCGCAGAAAACAGTCATAATAACAGCAGAAATTCAATACTTAAACACTATCTAACTTGAAACTACTACGACCATTGACACCCCTAAAGCAGCCGAAGAGACACATCCACGGCGAAGAGGCATAGCTTCGGGAAAGTGTCGCCTGGTTTTCTTTTGTTGCGCAAGGCCACCGATTTTTTATTCACCGTGAATCTTACTACTATATGGAAAGCTTCTTCACATTCTTCGCATTGTTTAGTGAAAAGCGAGACAAATTCGGCAAAATTTGCAGAATGTGGAAGGCTGGGGGTTGCGGTAGGGTCACCTATGAAAGTTTGAAAGTTTCCCCCTCGATGTTTTCAGATATGCCCTGGAGACGAAAAGAATGGTGAGGAGAAGAAACGGTTGCGGAACCGTAACACACTCATTCAGAAGTATTATTTTCCCTTCTGCAATCATGAACATAATATTCTGAAGGGGGGAGGCCGACAAAACTATAAACTCTATGTATACCAACAGCTTGCCAGTCCGAAAAGAGTTTACATTTCTTTGTTGAATCAAGTCTACCCGGGCTAGCGAAGCCGGCTGTAATGAAAGTGATGTACGGAGACGAAATGGCATCGTATTTTGCGTTGCCCATTTTTAAGCGAGTATTGCAAAGTAAAGCGCATGGTAATGTAGAAACAACATATCGCAAATAAGGAACGAAAAACAGCAAACATACCTTCACCATTTTATCGATTTTATTTCTAAGATCAGCTGATAAAGTCTGAGCAGCCGCTGTACACAAATTCCTTGTGCCAACGAATGATCGTTGAATAACTCGCAACATCTTTTTAGGACTGTACCAACTTAGATATTTCGATTGTATCATCTCCAATCCGATAACTAGCAAAAAGACAGTGAACAGTAAGAAGAGCAAAATGATTACAGGATATTGACCACAGTTGCAGCAAATATAAAGCACGAGGAATCCTTTATTTCGAAAGGAACCATCAATCGTTGAAGTCTTTTCAACTGAGAAGTCGTCCTATTGAGAGGATGTGATCGTTTTCGTTGACAAACAGCTGTGTTAATAACGAGAAAAATATTCGTACTAATTGCACATTTTACTCGGATAAAGGAAGCACCAAAGTCCGAATTTAGTAAAACGACCATGACCAGCACAGATTTCATATGCCGAGTCAAATTATCAAATAAAAAATTATACAAGGACTGACTGCGTCCCATTTGTCTTCGTCATCCATTTACATGATAGATAAAGACTTCACGGTTCTGTGACGAAAATCGACTGTCCAACTACATTTGAAAGCAACATGTGGATGACACCTCAAGGCACATAAAACTTCTCCCTGTACACAGATCCTTTGGGAGAGCTTGTTAATACATAATACTTAACAGTTATAACAGTTTGTTCAAAACAACGAGTAGGTCGACCGATACGGTATTTGTAGAAAATGATGTGAGAAATCGCTTGAGCGGCCGAAAATACACCCATATGATGTTCTGTAATATCACAGAAAATAGTCCGGTTGAGGCTTCTTCGCTGGCGCACCGCGATTTTCCTGAACATTGCAAACTTTAACAGAATTAAAGTTAAAATAAAAAATTAAGTATAACGAAATAAAAGGATCAGCATTTCTGAGACACACAAATGAAGAAAAATGACTATCAATGTAAGTGTGTTTTTCATGCATGGTGAGTACACCCTCACCTACTGAACACGCTCGCCTGAGTAAACACAACTCGACGTTTTGAGATGAAAACTACCAAATTTCAGGCACTTCTACCCCTAACTCTCTTGGAAGATAATTGAAGCAGGATGCACTTCGCCCAGATTTATATATAACTTATACGCTAGGACCTAATAACTTATACGCCAGGACCTAATAAATCATTCTTAAGAGCAAGGGACCTTTTGATAAACCTAAAGTTATTACAGTGGCGATATCCACCTAGGACAGCCAAGCCTTCCATCCTTCCTGGTCGGCTAATTCGTACCGAATTCGTCTGGGAGAATAAAAGCCCTGACTCGGACATGCGGTTGGTAGGCCACTTACGCATTCAATACGACGCCACTACGATTCTGAATGAAAGTCCAATGCGGGATCGGGGAAAGGGGGGGGGGGGGGATCCCTCATACGAGACTGATCAAGACCTGAAGACTCTATCCTCTAAAGTTGTAAGAAATGTAGTGACCGTTCCCTTCGAGGTCTCGATATCATTGTTCATCAGGCCCGCTATCAGCGTCTTTGCACATTACCTATCACTTTGAATCGCCGATATGATTGGGATTCAATACGTAAACCGATACAGTTTGCTTTTCCCAGCAAGCGCCTGTTGCGAATTACTGATAAAAATAAACCCGATTAGATAAGAACGAAAAATATTTTTAGAGCTAATCATGCCATTTCTAACGATGGGGTTGCCATGGATGACAAGACCCTTCTGAAGAACCTCCAGTTCCACAGCAACAGACTCGCCAAAGTCATCATATAACATTCGATGGCCTTTCATTTTGCAAGTCTGGTTTTAGGTTTGTAAAAGGTACAACCCACTTGAGGTGCTGCTTCAAATATCGTGAATTCCTTATTTAATTGTTCGTCGAGTTCAAGTATAGCAGCCACATTTCCACACCTAAATTCGAATTATGTTTACTAAAAAATAATGAAAGGCAACAGTGATGAAAAGACTCGAAGGAATTACTCAAAACCTTAAATGTTTCAGAGGGAAAGACAGTACAATTATTTTCATGTTTGAGGAAGCTTGAGGAAAAAAGGAAATCGATAAAGTTTTTGGTATGTTCAGAGTCAAACTAACCGATAACAGTAATTTGGAGCCGACCATACTGTCAAGACACTGTCGTTGAAATGCCATTTGTAGCCTTCCATAACCAATTGATGTGCTCGGCATATGAGATCAACACCATTCGTATCGCAGAAAGTCTGAGATACAACGTGAAAATGGCGTATGACCGATATAATTTGAAAGAACTCAATAGTGATCAAAAAGGCTTTACAAAAGTCTCAGATAGTTGATAGTTATAGCGCCGGAAAGATTTAATCTCACTGCATTACAACTCGGGTGATCGAAAAATAGGCAATGGTGAGGAAAGAAATGGCGAGTATGGTAAGAAAAAGGAATCGCATCTGGAAAAGTACTCATGAGGATGTGCTATCTACAAGAAATTAACAACTCGGTTCAGTTACGTCCTCAACAAAAAAAAAAGAAAGAGGGGGTGAATCGAATCCAAGGTGTGTGAACCTCTAAAAAAGTGTGAATAGATAGCTTTTTATTAGAATTCAAAATATGGTCGGTAATTAGTCTGAGTCTAAAAAAAGTCGGGTGAAGCAAGCTTGAATGTCAACCTTTGTAGAAACCGGATTCTAGAATTGAGTAGCAAGTGATGATTTCGAGCGAACAAAAGAATTATAGAAGTTCAAACTTCACATAATCGCAGACCATTAATCAGAATCAAGGGCTTCTTGCCATTAAGGCATTAGCGTGGAATCGCCGAAAAAGCAAGTTCATAAATAGTACCTTGACAACATCCGCACCGAAAAGGTAACCAGCTCCTCGTGGGCTCATTCCCCATCCCACGGATGAGTCTTCTGGATCGGACCATAAAAGGTCACACATTGGACCGTCGTGTGGTACCTGAAAAAATCGGTTGCATGGTTTACCTTCGGAAAAGCAAATTCATTCAATAGCATGACTCAAAAAGTTTGAATAAAAAAAGATTTCGAAAAAGCGGCAGTAAACGAAAGTAAAGATGTTAAACTTTTAAGGGGGACGGAACATTAACCCAGAACTGGATGGATGCGGCAAACCGCGCGGCGAAATACGTTTTGATTAAAACGACTCTGGCGCCCATCATTGAGATACAAATTTGAAGTGGGATAGATAAGTAACATCAGCTGGCCCTACTTATCCAATCCACTTGGATCCCGTGCCCCAATGATAGGCGTTAAAGCCGTTTAATTACCACGAATTTCGCCGCGCGGTTTGCCGCGTCCATCCTGTTCTGGGTGAATGTACCCATACCCGACTTTTTATTGTCAAATGTCCCAGTAAATAGTATTATATAGTATTACAATAACTCTAGCCCTCATAGACGATGTAGCATGGATGATTTATAGAAATCACTATTCAGCAATGAGCCAATAAGAATGATCATGCTGCTGCTGGGCATGCATAGAAGGCTTTTCAAGAACAAGTCAACATTGATACAGAAGTGCATCCCAACGTCAACTTCATGTATTCCTATCTGGCCGAGAACCAGCGGATAATGGAGCGCACCCTTACGCGGACTGAGCACCTAATCACCGGAAATTAGCAGTGTATTCTCTGCTCCAAGGCTCACTGGCGTGCCCGTGGGGATAATAAAGTTGTCAATGGAGAAGAGATCCTAATAACAAAACATAACCTACCGCGTCACACCTCTGTTCTCCACAGATCCACCTTTCTCGAAGTACTACCTCTTGTTCCAATCTTCAAGGTCATCTATCCGGTCGGAATTTCAAAACTAAGGACAACATCAATAAATAGTCAAAAAAGCACTCGAGGAGTGCCTCGACTCCAAGCTTTTGGAGGGAGGGGTATGTGCCCAGTCTCCAGAAGGCCGTCCATGTAAATAGGGTGTACTCCAATTAATTCACGACTACCTTTCAAAACATTTAAGATAATCGAGAAAATCGTCAGCATGTTAGGGAAATTTCGATTCAACGTAGTAAACTGAACAGAATCAGAATTATGAAAACTGCTTGGAATTAATGATGCCCAATTAAGTGCACCAGAGAATTCCTGAGTAGGTGGGACGTTAATTTAATCAGGTTTCCCTTGGGCGCATAGCAGTAATATACCGTGAGGATTGAGAGGCTTGAGCAAAATTTTATTCCGTTTGCTTCATTTTGTTTTTTCATTACTTTTATCTCCAATTACTTCGAGAGTGAACCGAGACACACAGAAAGCCTAGCTTGCCGAATCGGGACGGTAAATGGACGCATGCCTTGCAGTTTGACAACCTCCTCCTATTACTCCCTACATGGCGAAAGGCATCGGGTCAACAGATACAACTTCTTGATGAAGATTTGTAAAATGCACAGCTTTTCAGATGGAAGAATAGTTCATGAGGAAAAGCAACACTACCACATTCACTACCACATGACACCTTGGCTTATGGATTTGCTATACCAGCATTGTAAAGCACAGCCTTCTCTCCATGAACAGCCCTGCTTTCTCCTGCTCACCTAGAACCCTTTTCTCTCTTTTCTGTCATTTCCTTTGAGAATGTTAATCAGTTCTTTTTGAATTCTGGAAGATATCCATCAGCATCTTTTTGGAAAAATGTGTTATGCTAGCTTCGAAACTTTAGGTTGCGCCTTTAATTTTCTCATGTCCGTCATCAAATGGAACCCCTCTACATTTCCCCATACTGGCGAAACCAGTCGCAAAACAAATAATTGTGTTCCGAGTTCGACCAATCAAATGAAAACAACCAAGGAAACCAGTTACCTCTTGTTTTCGGTCAATCACACGTATCTGGTCCAGGGTTTGGATAGACGGTGACAGTCCTCCGTGCACACAAAATGCCTATGAAAAGGACGCAAATAACGGCAATTCCAATATATTTTTCAGAAGGCGCATGTTTCTAGGTACATATCAAATGTATAGTAAAATACCTTTCCATCAATAACAGCTGAAAGGGAGAGGTAGTCAAAAACTTCTGTACAAGCTTTCCATACGGCTGCGCTGCCATACTTACGTAAGCATTCGTCATAAAAACCGTACACCTAGAAAATCCATTTAAAAGCGAAGTCCACCACTTAAATCACTTTTTCAAATATAATGAAACACTTCAAGTGATAGTCACAAGTTTTGGGAGGAAATTTGTGTGAAACTGGTATGAGAAAAACTGAAAAGGTTGTTAAATGAAATGGAGCAAGTGTGGCGCGGCTCACAATCTTAAAATACACACAAAAAGATAAAAAGGCGCCTTTTAAAGTGGATACAAGAAAGCACACAAGCGAATTTCATAAAAAAATGTGACAAAGATAAGGATTAGCAGATTGCACCTTCAAGTAAAGCCCCGAAAATTTATTCAATTCAGTATTATCTGTTGGTGCTACTCACATGTGTGTTGCACATGTCTTTTGATAAGTAAATAAAATATTAAATTATCAACCAGCAAACGGGTCTATCGTGTTCCACAGAGCAGTAGTAATTTCAGTCGAAAGGTCTGTATAGAATTTGAAATAGGGAAAAACGACAGTTGAAGGAATAAGTTCGAAAGGTACTCCCACATAAANAAAGAATCAGGTTAAAAAAGAAAGGAAAGATGAGAAACATCACGATGATGTAATATCGCTAGAACAGTACCTGCGTAATTTGTCGGCTTTCATGATTCCCTCTGATAAGCATCATCCGGTCAGGATAACGTACTTTTAACGCGAGTAGTAAAAGAAATGTTTCTACTGAATAAAATCCACGGTCAACAAAATCACCAAGGAAAAGGTAATTTGTGTCTGGTATTTGGCCTCCAACCTGAAACGATTATAACTACAAACTGCAAGAAGCTGTAGAATCAACCAAAAAGTATAAACGACCTTGAATAGTTCCATGAGATCATAAAACTGGCCATGGATATCACCACATATCTAGACAAAAATATACTACAGCAGATGCTTGTTGAGTAGAAGTATACAAACCAACCGTGACCGGTGAGTCAATTACTTGCACGTTTCCTTCCTGGACCAAAATTTCTCGAGCTTTAGAACATAATGACTTAACGTCCTGTTCAGAGATCAATTCACACTTCATCAAAGTTTCAATATGTCTGAAAAATAACGATTACATCATTTTGTCTCCATTATAGACTCATTAAGATGCCAATATGTACCAATTTTGGCAGAAATTGGATCCTGCTCTACGGGACAGTTGTATAATCAAGTCAAAGAGGACGCTGGTGCCGCTTTTAAAAAATCATTATACTTTTTCATATATTATGGCTCAAAAATTATTGGAGTTGCTCCAAAGCTAAACTACATCGCGAAGAGACTCCTATTTCAACGACCAAAAATGGTGCGCATGGAGTACCACCACAGGCGTGCACATTCAGATTTCCGCTGACTACTTTTTATGGCAATATGCCTCATCGAATGTCAATTACTTGATAAGTAAAAGCCAGTTTCATCGGTGGCGTATTCCTCGGGCTAACCAGTAAGCAAGTCAACGATACCAATTGAAACATACTTGTCCAAATCATCGACTGACATCTCTATAGGACCTGCACCTGCAGTGACCGGAGAGTCGGGTCGGACCTCAGACGAGGCCAAATCGGCGATCGAAGTGGCCATTACCATTTAGACTTTTCTGAACTGAAAATAGTCTCTAATGTTTTTATTCTGGATGAAATAAAGTATATGACTTGCTTGTCACATTAGTGCACTAAGCTGCAGAGGAAAAACTAGTGGGGAAGCGGTACGGCGTATTACAGGATCACAACGACAGCGATAGACCAGGAAAAGAATTGCTGCGAAAAATCAACACATGAAGATAAGGGATAAGGTATTTCTTCTTCAACAGCAGGTGCACTTTCGAATTACAGTGAGTCAACCCCATTAAATAAATAGGGTTAGTCAAATGTTAACATGTTGTTAACTGTTGCTTTGAAAAAAAGAAAAATTTCTGGTTCATTTTGGCTCGTTTCGAGATTTCTAGTTTTCTAGCCTGCATGGAACCTCCCACATAAATCAGTCCTACATCTGTGCAAACAAATTCGAAATCATGTCAGTTCGTCAGAACAAAGAGAGTTCTGCGGTCCGGTTCGACGCCCGCACTATCCCGTAAGGTCGAAACAAAAATGTGCTTAAGTTTAGACGAAAAGGTGAAATAAGGCTACAAATATGATTAATATATTCTATCTAATACGCCGCATCATTCTACGAGCGAATACTGCACACACAAAAAAGGAATCAAGCCAAAAATGGAGCTCGACGAATTAACGCCTGGATGGGTGTTGACTAATTGTTTGAATTGGGTCAATTAGTGACCATAGAGCACGGTTTTGACGCTGATTAATAGCCAGTTCATTGAAATTCCTTCTCTAGCACTTTTTCCTGATGCTACTCCATTGTTTCTGTATCTCATTATCTCGGACCATCATTTCTTGAAGTTGTTGGGGCTCAGTGGGTGGTCGCCGATCAACGACCGGTAGACGGTCGGCGTCGGCAGCGGGGCGGCTTGATTATCGACGCGGCGCGGTCGGGCGGAGACGGGGCGGGCCGATGCCCACGGCGCGGTGCTGGCAGATATGGGCCTCGGGCCTTCACTGCTGCCCACGTTGCGCATGGCATGATGACGTGATGACGTCGTTGAAGCTTGTCATCTGCAGTATCGAAGCACTCATCAACTCCACGCAGCAGAATCATGCTCATCAAGGAGTACCGTATACTCCTACCGATGACCGTGGAGGAATACCGCATTGCACAGTTATACATGATTCAGGCAAGTGGAGCTTTCGTCGTTTATATCGAGATTGGATTGGCATTAGCCAATTAGGCACGCATCTGCGCACGATATAGTCATGCGCTTCAGTTGCCTAATTGCACCTCCTTGAAGTACTTATGCTTGCTGAATACGGTAGTATCTGTTGAAGAGCAATTCAGGCAATGTCTGTCTCATTAGTCTTTTCATTTCCGATTAGCATCCTATTCGACATTATCTAAAGAATTACTGCTTACCTTTCCAAATTAAAGGTATTTGAATACGAGTAATTCAATGTAAACCTTTGATTGTTCTTTTCCCTTTATAACAATTGCAATGGCTTGAATTTCGTGTAATTTATGAACGCCGATGAAGAGGTTCATTTTCGTCGTAATGATTGTCTCGAGAAGTCGATGATTATTCGTAGAAATGCTTCTTCGGCCTCTAAGGGCAACTTGATTGCCCTGATGCCTCATTTAATGCCATATGTACTTTTCGTTCATCTCATTCCTCTTAGGCCTCAGGCCTAATATACAACGCAATAGCATTTTGTTCATATTTCATGAATGACTACCTCGGTAGTGTAGTAGGCAACAATTCACGTGTGGTCTGCGGATTAATCTCTGTTCGTTTCATGGCGGGACTTTGATTTTGCATATTGATAGATAACCATACTATGATCGCGGAGTTATTGAGCATTTCCACCTCCAGAAACATTTAGTTTCCATGCTTGACTAGCCGGTTAGCCCTAAATACGGTCTAAGGTAGTGGGTATTTCAGGAACTCGAAACTTTTTTTTGATTTTTCAACGGCCACAATGCATTCCCAACAAAGTTATTGGCTTTTATTGATATTGAGCTTTCGGAAAGGGTTGAGATATGCAAATAAAGCATATTTTGATTTTATATGATATAAGTATATGGTTACAAAGTAATCAGTGAAGTCTTAGATTTACTAAGTAAACATGTTTTCAAGGATTGAAATTCGAGATAACATGTGCCATCCGACAAAACGACGCTGTAGCAAATACTTTTGAAACCATCATTTTTTAAGCTTCCCATGTTCGGAAAGTGTAGTTAAGAGCAACTTTTATCGATTTTAAAAGCAAGTTTTTCAGAATTCACTCACTTTTTCTTATTTCTGTTTATTTGTTCTCCTTCTAGTTGCCAAAATATCCCACCAGATAGGTGGTAGGACATTACTACATGCAGCATGTTGTTGTCTAGCGCTATACTAAGCCATACGTCTTATTCACACACACGCACACGGGAAGGGATTTTATCACTCGGGCAATCGCCGTCGTTTTCTTTGCTTTCACTTTGTTTTCCGTGAAAGTGAGCAGCCAAGTGTCTGCCGATTGCTTCCTTGCAACGATATCAGCAAACAGACACCCCCACCACCAGCACCACCCTACGTTGCCTATTTGACAGTATCGTGGGAAGAAAATATGCAAACATATTCCCATAGTCAGTCATTACAAAAGCATTCGTTGCATCCATGAAATTCGTTGTTGGCAGTAAATATTTCGCAAGATTGGCATGGGATTCATGAATTTCTGCGAAAGATTCTTTCAGGGGGAAAGTGTTTTTGTTGATTTAATTGAAACTCGGCGGCTGCATACCTTTCGCAGAAGCACGGAAACTAATATACGCATATGTCATGCAACACTCGACGATGCACTAGCAATTATCTATGAATGAATTATTCATGGCAATCCGGGACTGTTCAGACCGCCACATTACCAGTACTGGGAATCGATCGAACATCATTGTATAGATGAAAAAAGACTGATTATAAGTATTCCAGGGAGAGAACTAGTAATTTTCTGTAGAATTCATACTTTTTCATGTTTCTCTATGGCTCCCGTGGACTTTTAACGCAATTCATCATTACCAGTCTTGTAAGGAATACTGGGTAAAAGAAATGTTGTGACAAGAATACCCAGATAAGAGCGGTAAGGAACTTCCCTGTTGAATCATAAAAAAGTTTTTGACGTAATCTTTTTTTATGAGAAATTCCGTCAGAAACTCTCCTTTTATGCGAGGATAAGTTGTCCCACTCTCCCATTCTTTGGTTTTATGCTTCATATATGTAGTTATACCACGAAACTGCTTTTTTTCTCTCAAATAAACTATTCTGTGTTTCCGTGACAACTTTTAATTACTTTATGAGATTTCCCTCCCACTTTATTTTTCTTCCTTCAATTTCCAGCTGGTTTGTCCGATTGCCTCTTTCAGGTTAAAGAACTCCTCTTTTCATGGAAGACCCCTCTATCGGTGAGAACATCGAAGTGCTCATCGATTAATGGCTTTCTGCTTATCAAGCTTTCTTGAATGTTTTTATTTTTCACTCGTCTCGTTTGTTCTCTTTTGTTTCTTCATTTTCCCTCGCTTACATTGTGTCACATTGGCAAACAAACAGAAGTTTTTAATTTTTCTAGTTTGCCAAAGCGAAAATACCGAAAGTAGGCAGTAATTACGATTTATCGTCACTGGATATTCGCTATAAGAGGCTTTCCGGCCACCCAGTAAAGTGGCGTAAATTTTGTTGATGGCAGTGAATAAGGCATCAATTACATTTCCATCTGAATCACTACTGTATTGGGAATGGGAGGCAACTATGGGAATTTCCCTTGTCCTGGGTGTGGTTGGCCTATAGAAGGGTGTAATGGTGTTTCCCTTACGCTTCACTGGGCAGTAGTCGAAGGACAGCGATTTTTCGGCATGTGACCTTCTAAAGAGCCTTTATTCATACTTTCAAAAAGAGATTGTGTAAAATCGATGACTTAGTTTTCCGTTCGGCCCATGTCACTCAACTCGTCGCTGAAGTGCAACTGAACTACTTGAAAGAGTTTTTTACCTCAGCATAATGACATCTGGTCGAGTAGTAGCCCATTATGAAGGGGAATGTGCCATTTAGCTCACCTTGACATGGTAATTAGTAAGGGAATCCGTTGAAAACTAATTTCATTCCTAGGCTATCCGCAAAAAAACCACATAGCCACTTATCTGAGAGCGATCAATAACTGCAAGCCTACTTATGCGATTAATTTGATTATTCTGAATTGCGGATAAGCCGTTTTTCATGTTTTCCGTATTCGGAAGCGAAAATTGATTGGACTAGTGTTACCAGTCAACTCAAATGTTAAATCCATAAGTTTTTAATTCGTTAAAATTCCATTTCACCTGCTCCACAGGAAATTGGTTGTCTATGAACTCGAAACGTAGGAAAAACAGAGTTCGCAAATAGAAAGCTACAGGATATGAAAGTAAATTCAGTGTTTTCCCTGCAAGTTAAAGTATTGGTTCAAACACAAAAGTCCAGAGTTCATTTTCACTTCCCTGCACTCCGAAAGTTAGGATGTTTAGCGAACAAGATGGGTTACTGTAGAACAGAGAACATTTGATGTGATTAACAGCAATTAGAAGCTCCTTTGTACAATTTAAAAAATGGAATCACTGTTTGTACTTGCCATTGTCTTTATTTTGAAACATCCTTGAATACCTTTGCTTTGCTTTTGAGAGGAACCTTCAGTTTTTTCCTGCTCATCACAGCCATCTATACCATATGATCTTGGCTTAAATTAGCATCGTGTTGTTGGGATCTTGCCAAGTATTGCTTTTTCTGAGGAAGTTATTCAATGAATATGCGATGAAAGGTGGAAGGAGACATGCTCTTTTATGAATCAAAAGTTCAGGCGCATCAATTACCTAGCTATCCATTTAATTGTCTCGGAACTACTGGAGGTCTGGTTCTGACTGGTACCTTTGATCCCAACCCCTATTCCATATAATTAGGGGTTTTCTCCATCAGTAAAAGAAATAAAACAAACCAGAGGCAACAAAGAGAACCTCCCCCTCCCACCTCCCATTTGATCGAATTTTTTTCAAACTTTCCTTTTTACCTTTCTCTTGGAAAACAGACTGCTTTTTATTTATTCATATTGATGTACATAAATGTGCGCTCAAGCCGAAGTTAAGAGAAAAAATGGTCTGGTATTAAAGCAAAGTAGCACGCTTTCTTTCAAGAAAATAAGGGACTAAAATACTGCAAAAAAAGGAATTGAAGTGCTAAACAGTCGGTATTTCACCTCAAAAAGTTAATGGCTAAATTGAGCAGAAAGTACAATAGTTCGTTATTCTTTTTAATTTATGGGAAAGAAGGCAAGGGATATAAGTTGTAACAAAGACAAGTGTTTTCCCAATTTTCGATCGTTAATCAAAGGATCTGAAACCTGATACAAGCCTGAACCCTATCCCTTTCTGTCTTCGAGGATACTACAACTGATTTCTGATTTCTTACGAGTCTCTCTTCGTCTCACTACCACTTTGTGACGTAATTGAGAGCGAAGCTGTCTCATGGAAAAAGTGCTCAAGGTCGTTAAAAATAGTTTAAAAGGGCGTGAACAGACAACAGAACTACGCTGCGAGCGCCGCCGCAACCAGTCAAAATCGACGTGGAAAAACCCACTACTACGTATTGATGGCTTCATACGATGGGAAATTGAATTGGATAGCAAAAAGTTTTGAAAGCGAATTCAAATTGCCAAAATTGGGCTTCATTTCTTCTTTGGTGGTATTGTGATTCCTGACCTTTTCGGTGTTGTCAAAAATGAAAAATTAGACAGCTGAAAAATCGTGTTCTTTGGTTCCAGCTGAAGCCAGAAGATTAAAATGTCCTTCGCGGGAATGGGATGCAGAGCAACATATTTCAAAAATGGGAGTTCAATGCTTAAAGCCAGCTGTCATAGGAAAACTAAGGAAACGAAGCTTCGCATTTTTCCCGAAAGACCTGTGGAAAGAGGTTTTTCAAGAATAATATCTTCCAAGCTTAAACTTTAGTAATTAAGTAGTAATTAAAACTTTAGTAATCTGATTTCCAAAACGTAAAACGCCGTAATTTTCCAGAGGATATCTGAGTGGGGGATTCAGTAAAGTAAGATGGTGATAATGAAGACCAATATTTTGTAATTAATGAATTGTGAACAGACTTTCATTATTTCTTTTTTACCACTTTGTTGTTGTTCTCGTCGATTCAATTCGTTGCTGGTTCTATTTCTTTCAAGGCCGATGGACGACTTAGACGTCTCATTTGGGTC